TGGTGGGGTGGTGGGTGAGTTATTGGATGGTGAGTAGGTGGGTGTGGGGGGTGAATGAGTGAGCGAGTGATTGGGTGTGTGGCAGGGTGAGTGAGGCGATGGGCGACTGATTGGGTCACTGGATGAGTGGGGGGGGGTGATCGAGAGGGTTGGTAATTGGTTGGTTGGGTGAGTGAGTGGGAGTTAAATGAATGAGCGCGCGGGTAGGGGGGGGCGAGTAGGGGGGGGGGGCGAGTGGGGGGGGGGGGCGAGTAGGGGGGGGGGGGCGAGTGGGGGGGGGCGAGTAGGGGGGGGCGAGTAGGGGGGGGCGAGTAGAGGGGGGACGAGTAGGCGGGGAGCGAGTAGGGGGGGGGCGAGTAGGGGGAGGCGAGTAGGGGGGGGGCGAGTAGGGGGGGGGGCGAGTAGGGGGGGCGAGTAGGGGGGGGCGAGTAGGGGGGGGCGAGTAGGGGAGGGGCGAGTAGGGGGGGGCGAGTGGGGGGGGGGCGAGTGGGGGGGGGGCGAGTAGGGGGGGGCGAGTGGGGGGGGGCGAGTAGGGGGAGGGGCGAGTAGGGGGGGCGAGTAGGGAGGGGGGCGAGTAGGGAGGGGGGCGAGTAGGGGGGGGGCGAGTAGGGGGGGGGCGAGTAGGGGGGGGGCGAGTAGGGGGGGGGGCGAGTAGGGGGGGGCGAGTAGGGGGGGGGGCGAGTAGGGGGGGGGCGAGTAGGGGGGGGGCGAGTAGGGGGGGGCGAGTGGGGGGGGGGGGCGAGTGGGGGGGGGGGGCGAGTGGGGGGGGGGCGAGTGGGGGGGGGGGGCGAGTGGGGGGGGGGGCGAGTGGGGGGGGGGGGCGAGTGGGGGGGAGGGGGCGAGTGGGGGGGGGGCGAGTGGGGGGGGGGGCGAGTGGGGGGGGGGGGCGAGTAGGTGGGGGGGGGGGGGGGCGAGTAGGGGGGGTGAGTAGGGGGGGTGGAGGCGCGCGAGTGGGTGGGGAGATAAGCGAGTGGTGGTCAAGTGAGTGGGGGGGGGGGCATTGGGGGTGAGTGGGGGGGGGCATTGGGGGTGAGTGGGGGGGGGGCATGAGGGGTGAGTGGGGGGGTGGGAGGGCATGGGGGGTGAGTGAGGGGTGTGGGGGGCATGGGGGTGAGTGAGCGGGGGAGGGGGTAAGGGGGGGGTAAGTGGGGGGGGTAAGTGGGGGGGGGGGTGGAGGGGGGCATGGGGATTGAGTGAGTGGGGGGGGCATAGGGGTGGATGATTGGGGGGTGGGTGAATGAGAGAGTGGGGGGGGGCGAGACTCATGAGTGAGTGGGAGGGGTGACAACGTGAAGCGATGGCTGCTGTGCCTGGGGGTGTGTGTGTGTCTGTGTGTGTGTCTGCGTGTGTGTGTGTGGTGTGTGTGTGTCTGTGTGTGTGTCTGTGTGTGTGTCTGTGTGTGTGTCTGCGTGTGTGTGTGTGTGTCTGTGTGTGTGTCTGTGTGTGTGTCTGTGTGGTGTGTCTGCGTGTGTGTGTGTGGTGTGTGTGTGTCTGTGTGTGTGTCTGTGTGTGTGTCTGTGTGTGTGGTGTGTGTGTGTGTCTGCGTGTGTGTGTGTGGTGTGTGTGTGTGTGTGTCTGTGTGTGTGTGTGTCTGTGTGTGTGTCTGTGTGTGTGTCTGTGTGTGTGTGTGTCTGTGTGTGTGTGTCTGTGTGTGTGTGTGTCTGTGTGTGTCTGTGTGTGTCTGTGTGTGTGTGTGTCTGTGTGTGTGTGTGTCTGTGTGTGTGTGTCTGTGTGTGTCTGTGTGTGTGTCTGTGTGTGTGTGTCTGTGTGTGTGTCTGTGTGTGTGTCTGTGTGTGTGTCTGTGTATGTGTGGTGTGTGTGTGTCTGTGTGTGTGTCTGTGTGTGTGTCTGCGTGTGTGTGTGGTGTGTGTGTGTGTGTCTGTGTATGTGTCTGTGTCTGTGTGTGTGTGGTGTGTGTGTGTCTGTGTGTGTGTCTGTGTGTGTGTGTCTGTGTGTGTGTGTCTGTGTGTGTGTCTGTGTGTGTGTGTCTGTGTGTGTCTGTGTGTGTGTGTCTGTGTGTGTGTCTGTGTGTATGTGTGTGTGTCTGTGTGTGTGTCTGTGTGTGTGTCTGTGTGTGTGCCTGGGAGTGTGTATGAGTCACGTAACGGCGCGAGAGGCGGCCATGATGGACTGTTGCAAGGTCACGGAGGAATAGGAACCGCAGAGGTCACCACACGCGCCGCTCTCCCCCACATGCCGTCCCGTGAGCAGTCATCATCACCAATCACCACCATCATCACCACCATCATCACCAATCACCATCAATCATCACCAATCACCATCATCACCACCATCATCACCATCATCAATCACCATCAATCATCACCAATCACCATCATCACCACCATCATCCACCAATCACCACCATCACCACCAATCACCACCATCACCACCATCATCACCATCACCACCATCATCACCATCACCACCATCATCACCATCATCACCAATCACCATCATCACCATCATCACCAATCACCACTATCATCACCAATCACCATCATCATGATCGATTCACCGCTGGATGAAGCCCCCCCCCCAAGCCTCTCTCGCGAGACGCTGCCATTCAACGACGATCCACTTCGCCGCTCCATCTCCGCGCAGGAGGTACCTTTCGGCTGCGTGCACCTCGCCATTAATATAATAAATATTAATACAAGGCGCTCACTCTACCATCACGGAATCTTGTGTTACAGGAAGGCTGCGGCTACCATGGGGAGGTTTGGCCATAAATTCCGCGCACAAATACCGAGGGTTTCAGCTGCCCCCTCCGTGTGCGCGAGAAAGCCGAGAACCACAGAGGAGGAGTCGGGAACCACCACCATCGCGTACAAAGACAAAGATCCCCCAAGAACGCACAGGATACACGGACTGTCGGGGGCAAGTGCAGTTAGCGAGCACCTATTAAGGCCGGCACGGCGTGGTGTGGGTGGCCAACACCACGCCCGGCCGCCTTTGTCTCCCCAAAGCTGATGCTTACACACAGCGCCAGGTACTGTTGCTCATGTGTGGCTGAGTCGATCTAGGGAGTGTTCAAATTCAGTAATCACGTAGCAATGGGGGTGTGTGTGTGTTACATCATGTGGCGTCCTGATGCAAGCCATCACACACACAAAGACGAAAGAACCCCAACCTCGTGTAGCCTGCACAGACTGTAGGGGAAAGTGCTGTTAGAGTGGAGCAGCTGATGTCGGTGCGTGGTGCAAACCAGCCACGCCCGGCCGCCTTTATCTCTCTCCCCAGCGTGTCTTCTTTTCAGAATCGGTTACCGGTTTACGAAAGTCGGACACCTGTGATCGTTTCATAGAATCGATAACCGGTTCTGAAAGTCGTAAACCGGTAACCGTTTTCAGGAGAATGTTTACGAACTCACGAACATGGATTATTGTTTCTTTTCACAGCCCTCGTCTGTGTGAACGTGATGCGTGGGAGCGGTGGCGCAGTGGTTAGCGCACTGCGCCGCTAACCCCCGCTGATGGCCTCTAAATATCGGTGACAAATCTGTTGAACCAGGTCCTGGACCTCCCCTAGGTCGACTCAACCTTAAGGGGAGTAGTACCTGGTGCGATGTGTGAAACGTCAGCACTGGGGAGACAAAGGCGGTCAGGTGCGGTGCTAACCATCCCCAACGATCTTCAAAGGTGCTACTCACTAACACATCACTTGCCTCAGCAGCGTGTTAGAGGCTACACTGGGGAGCTGTGGCTGTGTGTGCGTGAGGAAGCGGTGTGCATTAGTAATGAGGAACCGCTCGCTTCCCTGACGTCACTGAGCCTGCATCAATACAGTGCCTCTATTAATACCCATAGTTACACACACACACAGAGACACACACAGAGACACAGACTCACACACACAGAGACACAGACTCACACACACAGAGACACAGACTCACACACACACAGAGACACAGACTCACACGCACACAGAGACACACAGACACACACACACAGAGACACACAGAGACACATAGAGACACATACACAGAGACACACACAGACACACACACAGAGATACACACACAGAGACACACACAGACATATACACAGACACACACAGAAAAAGACACACACATAGACACACACATAGACACATACACACACAGAAACAGACACACACACAGACACACACAGTCGACACCCGAACACTGCAGTATACACACAGTAGCATTAGCCTCGCCCTATCCACTGCTGGATGAACCCGCATACACAGTACGCCCCCATTCATACTGAACATTATGTATACACACCCTGACATTCACACACAGATACACAGACAAAGATACCCCTATGGACTTAATAGTATTGGGGCAAGTGCTGTTCGCGAGCACATATGAAGGCCTACATGGCCGCCTTTGTCTCCCCACTGCTGATTATTACACACTGCAGCAGGTATTCATTTGAGGCGGAGTCGATCTAGGGGAGGCCCACGATCGGTTCAGACAAGCGGCACACGCCCTGACATTCAGGCACATCCAACACATTCGTGAATAACACTGCGGGCTGAAATAGAAACATAATATATGACGCTTCGGGCAATGAGCCTTCTTCATAGCACGCATTTGACGCACACAGATAAAGATCCCCCGTATAGCCTGCACAGACTGTTGGGGCAAGTGCTGTTCGCAAGTAGCAGCACTTATGAAGGCAGACACGGCACACGAGGGGGTTGGTGGCCAGCACCACGCCCGACCGCCTTTGTCTCCCCCGTGGCGGTTTACCCACCGTACCAGGTACTCATTTGAGGCCGAGTCGACCTAGGGGAGCCCCATGGCCGTGAGCGGGAATTGAACCCAGGTGGTGGGGTTCATCGCGCGCCCACTGCTACACTCGCCGTGCTTATCAGAGGTGCGCAGATGACACAAAGATAAAGTCAGCGACACACACACACACTGACAAGCAGACATACAACCAATCACACAGCCACGCACAGCCACACACCCCGACTTCCATGTTCCCAGACACACACAGCGACATTCACAGCCGCAGACGAATCCTCACCTTCTTCCCCACATCGTCAAACTGCTCCGTGAAGTAGTAGGCGATGAGGTGCGAGAAAATGATCATGGTGCCTCGCTCCTGCTGCTGTTGCTCCTGCTGCTGTTCCTGCTGCTCCTGCAACTACTGACTCCTCTCGTCTCCTGTTCCTGCTACTGCTCCTGTTGCTGCTGCTCCTGCTGCTGTTCCTGCTGCTGCTTCTGCCGGCTGGAGCGGATGAATGAGTGCGCACTCCCCCCCCTCTCTCTCCTGCTCCCCGTGCATGGCCCCACCCACCGCTGCTCCACCCTCTCCCTTCATCTCGCTCCTCTCTCTCCCTCCATCTCCTTCTCACAGTCACACACTCAACCCTCTCACGCTCCCCCTCGCGCACCCACGACTCGCCTATCCACACAGCTACGCTGCCAAGACAAAGTTCTCTCCCCCCCCCCTGCATCCTCCCTTGGCGCATGTTCCGTGAGCCAGAAGCAGCAGCACCGATGAAGGTCGCCAGGGCGCACGAGGGGGTGGGCAGCACCACGCCCGGCCGCCTTCGTCTCGGTCATCGGCGAGGCTCCTCCGGCAGGCGAGGCTGGGGTCACGGAGCCCGCGTGCCCAGCCACCGCGTGTCCAAGCGGGCGTGGCACGGGTTAGAGAAGAGATGGAGTGATGTGGTACAGGAGGATGTGGAGCTGAGTGGACTTGCCAATGACCGGTACCAGCCGTGCCAAGATCGCCCTCTGCGGAGGAGGCTCGTGAAGGACGCTGCTGGGATGTTGGAGGCAGTCGCCCTCCGACAATTGACGACGGAGCGACGCTCACAACAACGGTCGGAGCGCCGGGCGGATAAAACGGAGCGCGTTGGCACAGTAGGGGGCACGGGTGGTACATCTGCCAGTCAGCTCGGTCAAACCATGGCACCTGGGTCTGTCCCGTGATCTGCCAGCGAGCCGTACACACTGCATGCGGTCTCGAAGTGCACCTAACCTGGCACAAGCGCCGTGGTGACATCGGCACTTGTGGCGAACGGCTGCTGTTGTTGCGTTCGCGTGTGTCTAAGAGTTTATCACCCGCGTGTCTGTTGATCAGTTTAAAACATGCCGGTGCCGCACCTGGGACGACTGCACTCTGCTGGTCGTCATTCTGCCCCAGACGCACAACGCAGGGCATCAGCTGCCTTCTTCCTCTTCTTACCTATGCATGTTGAACTTCTTTCGCACCGCACGTAGCCAACCGTGCTAATTGGAGGTGCGCGGGAAGGACAATAAACTTACAACACAAAAAATCAGTTTCAAAGAAATGAGTTTTCAACCTATGGCGGATGTCGATACGACAATTTCACATTCAGGTGGTTATCAAGTCAGACAACCGCGCCAGGAGCCGAGGAGTATCGTTGTGATGTCTCCTTCGTATTGTGGATAGTGGCTTCGCGTCGTTACGCGTCGTCTGTGGTGGATGACCAGTCGCACAATGAACAGCACCAGCTGTGACTGGCGTGGACACGCGCGAGGATACAGACTTCGCACTGACCTCTTGTCACCTGAACCCCACTGAACAGATTTATTCCCGAAAAACCCTAACCCTGGAGATACAACACATCGCTCACGTGCAGCTTTCACACGATCTGTCCCCCCGCGTAAAAAAATACAAGCAATTTTAGTCGTATGCATCCCATCAGCCACACACAGTATTCTGGGCGAAGTCTGCTCATTTAATGATATGCATCCTCCATAAATACGCGATTGATTGTGTTGTGTATTAAATATATTTTCATCGAACTCGGACTCGGATATAACACACCAGATTAACAGTATTGGTTACGTATGCCTGGTTTTGCTGACCAGACACTGAATTTGAAAACCAGTCCTTGTGTAACTGAGTGTTTGTGGTAGGCTATGGGTCTCTATGTAATTGTATGGTGGTAGTCTATGGTTATTCGTGGTAGTCTATGGGTCTGCGAGACCAAGGGTCTTTGATGTCTATCCAAGTCTGTCCGTGAGTCAATTGGAGCATGCCTGGCGTGCCATTGCACAAGGAATTAAATTCCTCCTGTTACCGTGCCCCTGATGCATTTGCACCGACTGCACACTGGATAGCTATACCAGTGGTGAGATATGTGTGTGTGTGTGAATGCGATACTCTGGGAAGTGATGAGAGATTAAGGCGAATAGGTTCAGGAGAAATGTGATCAGACCAGTCTCACCGTGGGCCTGCGATCAAGTCTGGGTTTCACGGCCATGGGAGGCTGTGTGGGATCTGTGGGAGAACCGCACCCAGACGCTACGGCCACTCCTTCATTCAGGCAGTAACGCCTCTCCCGTCTCAGCACTCGTTTTCAATAGTCCTCCTACATTGGAATGTTGGGACAATCACTTTTTTAGTTTTTATTTGAGCGTTGCTTTGTGTGCGGGTAAATGGAAAACCTGTACAACACTCAACAATTCACAAAGGTGGCTTCACGACCCCCTCCCCCCACTTGCTGTACTGCCATCTCGTGGCCGGTCACCACCTCGCAGCACATCTTCACCCTCCTACCTTCGGGATTGTGAAAAGCTGCACTCCACTCCCGATTTTATGGGAAGACTAGCACCCACCACCATAGAAAAGTGGAATTTCCACCAACTAAATTGAGCAGCACCCAGATAGTCAGAAAGAGTTGAGTCTGAGGTTAAATGTGTACACATCGTATATTTAATCAAATTTCTCTCTAGCCGGTTACAATTATACATGTCTGGGCAGCAAGCACAGACTCAAAAGCATCAAAACCTGCAATTTAATTACGATCACCACCATTATCATCGTCATCGTCGTCATCTACACCATCATGCAATTATCGCATGGGTCTACACGGCTCAAGAGTATCGCAGACTCCGGACCAGTCCCACAGCATCCCCCAGACACCTCCACACTGCGGCCATCATGGCCACGATTGGCCCTAGAGGCACCCCGGACACTAGGCCAAGGCCTCCACTGGAGGCTTGCCACTGCGTAAACTCGGCCTGGGTTTAAATTGTCTGAGCCAGCCGGATGCTAATAGTTGACGCAGCCAGGCCTAGACTAAAATGTATTAAACCTGAGCTTACTTTAATTTATTAAAGCAGGCCTAGAATGGAATATATTAAACCTTGGCTAGTCTAGAATTGACGAATCCAGACCAATGCTATAACTGACTAAACCAGACCGGGGCTAGAATAGACGAAACCACGCCTAATACTCCACTGCCTAAACCAGACTCCGGCTAGAAGTGAATTAAGCAGGCCTAGGCTAGAATTGAATAAACCAGGTCTAAGTGTGCACTGCCTCAAACTAAACCAGGGTGCGGCTAGAATAGACTTAACACGCCTAGATCTGTACCAACTAGATCAGGGGTCTGCAACCTGCGTGCGGCTCTTTAAGTGACTGCTTCGTGACGTTATTTATGAACCACTGTCACTTGTATTCACCACGTGCATTGCGGGTCTTGAAATAGAGATTTTTGTTGTTACCGAATTCTTGTTATTTTGGTTGCCGACCTCCCTGGACTAAACCAACCCTGGGCTCAAACTGACCAACCCAGACCAGGCCCCTCTCCCATGTGGAGGCCTCCCTCCCTCACTCCTCACCATGGCCATGGTGTCCCTCCAAGCGACGAATCGATGGGCTTGGTGAGAAACTCATTTGGTTAATTTCCCTTTCAGTTTTTTTTCTCTCTCCTCAATGCTCAATTGCACAAAAATACTTAAGGTTGAAATTTCCCATTGGCTCCTGTTTTTAATCAGTGTCAAATTAGGGAGATGATCACCTAAGTTATTGAAAGCAACTACCCCCTGAGCCAAGTAGTCCCAGGGCTCTAAGGGTGCCGAGTGTCCACTGCTAGATAACAATAAAATAATTACCATCATAATACTGCACATTTAAAGCTTGAGATGCAAAAGCAGAGGGCCCAGTGAGGCCCAGTGAAGCCCAGTGAGGCCAGGGTGAGACCTCAATGCCCGATGAGCCTTCATCTCAGACCAGGAGCACAGTGCGGGGAGACCCGGCTGTCGTAAGCACAGAGAATGGCAATGCCGTCACTGCACTGGGCCTGACCCCAACCCCGAGCATGGAGGAAGGAGTGGGCCTCGTCCAAATGGCTCCAATGGGCCTGATCACAGCTCTAACAGCATTCTGTGGCAGCTCTCATCTCTGCGATGCGTTTTCGGGTCGTACCGTGCTTTGTTCTGCACGGTGCCCGACGTTTCACTCCGGGTACTGGCAGCTTCTTCGTGGAACTGAATTGAACCCTCAGGAGCGGGTTCCTTGCCCTAGCTTGACAAAAATCTTTCACAAGATGCGACCTTAATGAGTCTAACCCTAACCCTAACAATACCAGGCCTGACACGGGTGTTACAGGTACAGCTCGTTTTGTCAATCCACTGCTGGATCTGCATAGAGGGCAAGACTTGATCTCCGTGTGAGCCGATCCTACTCGGGAGGTCTGGGAGGAGGAGTGGGGAGGGTGGGGTGTCTGTGAGGAAGGGGACTGCAACCATCACTGGAGGGTTTCAGGTCGAACCCCCAAGTCCCGGTAGATTTCCTTCAGGATGAGCAGAGAAGTGTCCTCAGACTCCCTGTGCGCATGCAGAGAGACAAAGACAAAGATCCCCCGTTATTGCCTTTAACAGACTGTAGGGGCAAGTGCTGTTAGCGAGCAGCACCTATGAAGGCCGGCACGGCACATGAGGGGGTGGGTGGCCAGCACCACACCCGACCGCCTTTGTCTCCTCAATGTTGATGTTGAGACACCACACCAGGTATTAACTTGAGGCTGAGTCGACCTAGAGGAGGCCCAGAACCGGATCAGATATATTGTCACTGGTGCTGGTCGTGAGCGGCAATCGAACTCGGGACGCCGGATTCGTAGCGCAGCATGCTAACCGCTACACTATCATTCCCCGGACACACAGTGACACACACATGAATGACACACGCAGAGTACAAGTACACAGCCACATGTATGCAGAGTAAATATATGTGTGTGTGTGTGTGCTAGAGTGAGCGAGTACCAGTAGCACAGGTGGGACTGCAGAGCAAACAGGTACTCGTTGAAGCTCTCGATGGGCTTCTCCTGCAGCACGTAGTCCACGCGCCGCCCACCGTTCAGCGCCCCGACGCGCAGGCTCGTCAGCGTCGGGGATGGTGGAGGCTCTCCCTCATCGGGGGACTTAGCTAGGGTACACGCACGCAGGGGAACACGCGCAGGGGGTACACGCAGCGGTAAGCAGGGGTACACAATTTTAATGTCAGGGCTCTAGGACACATTCGACCACTATTGAGTCATGCCAACAAAGTGGCGTGTAACCATAGTATCGACAAGGCTCGGTTATTGCAACTCCCTACTCTACGAGACGTCTGGTAAAAACATTACCAAGCTGCAGTGTGTACAACATTCTCTGGCACGTGTTGTGACGGACACTACAAGATCCGACCATGTCTGTCCAGTGCTCGCTGAGCTGCATTGGCTTCCGGTTTGTGTGTTTCTCTTGCACTCATTACACACAAAGTGTTTGCCACAAATGAACCACAATACCTTGCTGATCTCAAGGAGCATAAACCACTACGCGAACTCCAGTCATCCGGCTGTTGGCAAACCATCGAACAGAGACACATCATGTGTTTTCAGATGTGCTTCTGCGGCCGTCTGGAACGCTCTTCCTTCTAATATTAGGAAGTCACTGGAGCCGTGCACTTTTAGATCTATATTGAAAACGCATTTATTTTTAACGACTTTTTGTGTTTAATTTGTTGTCCTTCCCCCGCATCTCCGATTATCACGGTTGGATATGCACGGTGTGACAGAAAGAAGAGCGTTCCAGATGGCCACAAAAGCAGCATCTGAAAGCGCGCGATGCGGTGATGGTGAAAGCCACTGCTGCAAGGATGACTGGAGTTCGCGTGATGGTTTATGCTCCTTGACGAGATCAGCAAGGTATTGTGGTAAGCACTTTGCTACTGCTGCTGTTGCTGTCTTGAGTACCTGGCTGTGTCTCCTCGTCCTGCTGCTGCTGCTGCTGGCGGATCTGCTCGGCGACTTCGCGGAGCTCGGCCTGCAGCTCGGGCGACGGGGAGTTGTGCGCGCGTGCGAACTCGTGCAGCACATGCCACGCGGAACGCAGCGAGCTCAGCACACCCTGCTTCAACTCTGAACCCATTCGCGTGAGGCTCTCCTTCAGCTCTGTGGTAGACGCGCAAACACACACACACACGTACGGGCACACACATACACACACTCAGTACGGGTACATACATACGGGTACACGCACATGGTACACACGTGGTATGCACGTAAACACACACACGCGTACGGGTACACGCATGTGATACGCACACACATAAACACGTGGTACGGGTACACGAACGTGGTACACACGTGGTAAACACATGCAAAGACAAAGATGCCCCGCATAGCCTGTTGGGGGTAATTGCTGTTAGTGAAAAGCACCGATGAAGGCCGGCACGGAATACAAAGGGGTGGGTGGCCAACACCACGCACGGCCACCTTGTCTCCCCAGTGTCAATATTTACACACTGCACCAGGTACTCATTTGAGGCAGAGTTGACCTAGGGGAGGCCCAGGACCGTTTTAGATAAATCGTCATTGGTGTTGGCCATGACTGGGTATCGAACCCAGGTAATTGGGTTCATAGCGCAGCGTGCTAACCACGACACTACTGCTAAACTACCACTCTCCCAAAACACCACAGATGGGCTCTGGATTGACACCCACCACCTGCGCAGTGGAAGAATGGCAGGTGCATCTTACAGATGACAAGCCCAATGATCAATGGGTAGATCAGCTCCACGGTAGATCCTCACATCAAGGACATGGGCCCGCGTCCGCTGTTCCATCACGTTATAGTCAGCCCAGGCGTCTGCGTCATGACCCACTTGCGCATTAAAGTCACCCAACAGAATGACTATCCCGAGGGGCCACTAGCCAGCAATTGGGACAGGAGTTTATAGAAGGCATCTTGTCTGCATCCCTGTCTGCATCCCTGTCTGCATCCCTCCACTGATGTTCATCTTCAGTGGGGGCATAAGCAACCACCATCACTATTCCTCGCCTCTTGTTGATGGGGAGGCGAGCCCACAGTATCCTGGGACTCGCAGCTTCCCACACCTCACCGTCACGTTCTCACACCCCCTTCATTCCACTCCCCCGAGTGGGGGACTGTTCACCCTGGAGCCAAAACCAGTCCACTGGACCTGTACTCCACAAAGGTCCAGGTGCTACCAGTCCACCTCCTGACAGAGGAATAGCAGCCTCTCCTCCGCAACAAGAATTTGAACATTGCATGTGGCCAACAGCAGGAGTCTCCTGTTCCTGGAGGAACCCTGACAGGTGGGGTTTAGTCTGACTCTGCCAAATGGGATTTGGCCAGAATACACCATAAATGCCTGTCCCCTAGGGCCTCCAGCACGAGCTTAGTTTGATGTTTTCACACAAAGACCATGGCACACACACAGGGAGTGAATTAAACCAGCACAGCTGTTTCAACCCTGAGCCTAGAACAATGATAGAGGTCCCCCCCCATACAGCCGATTAAAGACGGTACGGCATACGAGAGGGTCGGAGTTCAGCAGCGTGCTCAGCTGCCTTTGTCTCCCCAAATACTGACGTTTACACACCGCGCCAGGTAATTATTTAAGGCTGAGTCAATGTAAGGGTGGCCCAGAATGGGTTGAGATACTCGTAACTGATCTTGGCTGTCAGCGGGAATCAAATTCGGGTTGCCGGATTCGGAGCGCAGATACACACACACACACACAATTATGCCATTCATAAGCTTCACAGCACACGCACATATTAGCGCACACACTCTCCGTTAGCTTCACTGCACAACAACCACCATTCGCCACTAAGTGGCGATGACGTCACCACAACGCTTGTGCCAGGCCATGTGCAACTTGAGGCCACGTGAAGTGTCGAACGCCCGCTGGCAGGAGGTCACGGGGCCAGTCATCGGCAAATCCACTCGGCTCAACATCCTCCTGTACCACGTCACTCCATCTCTTCTCTAGCCCGTGCCGCGCCCATTTAGCCCCCTCGATCCGGCCGAACAAAAGCTGTTTAGACATGCGGTGGTTGGGCATGCGGGCTACATGACCCAGCCAATTCAGCCTTGCCTGCCGGAGGTGCTCACCTATGGACTTTGTCCAGATCTTTCAAGGATTTGTGAGTGCCTCACACAATCCAGCCTGGTTAAACGTAGGCAGGCCAGCCTAAATATTTATAACCGGAGATGTTCCATTGGGGGGGTCTATGTTTCGCAAGCGCATAGAAGGGTGGGCATGACCGTGGCCGAGAAAACCTGAAGCTTCGTGTGGAGCGAAAGACCAGGTAAGCTTCCACACAGCGTTATGCAGCCGATGAAAAGATAATGCCGCTCAACTGATTCGGAGTGAGACCTCTGCTGTCAAACCAGAGCCAGGTATTAGAGCACACTGCCCAAGTATGTAAAACTCTCCACTCTCGCTACAACTGTCCCATCAACAACTATACAACAACAACAACCGCCATTCACCACTAAGTGGCGGTGACGTCACCATTACGCTTTTGCCAGGCCATGTGCATCTAGAGGCCAACAACTATACACACACGCATACACACCTACACATCTACACACATGCTTGGATTTTGTGTAAATGTTGAGAATTTGAATTCCAACTCAGGCGGCCGCTAATCACTGCAGCGCACGTCACATGCTGGGAAAGTTAGGACAGATCAGGTGATGGTCATCGCGCGCAAGTACACACGCACATGCGCGTGTATACACACACTTGTACACACACCATACCCTCTTTCATGTCTGTCCCCATCCACTCTATGGTGTCTTTCAGCTCTGAAAGAGAAACACACAGCGTGACCTCGCCCAGCCGGATATCTGTCTTCATGACTGTCCCTCCGCCCGCACGTCCACCCGTCTGTCCGCACATCCGGCCGTCCGTACGTTTGTTTGTCTGTCCGCACGTTCCTTCATCTGTCCGCACATCTGTCCGTCTGTCCCCCTGTCCGTCTCTCTGCACGCCCGCCCGTCTCTCTGCACATCCATTCGCTGTCTGCACGTCCATCCGTCTGTGTGTTATGGGGCGGCGGGTCACGATAGCTTGAGTGAAGACGACCCAATTTAAACGAGAGTTGCGTTGCTATTGGGGAACCCTGCAGAACACCGGGCACAGCGATTGGATCGAAAGTGATGATGTCACCCCACATGATGTCATCATCTCTCTACGTGACATGGAATGAGCGTCTACGCGTGTGTGTAGTATTCCTGTGTGTGTAATCTGTATGCGCATGTGTGTATAGGACGTGTGTGTGTCCGTAATGGAGAACAGTGGTGCAGTAATTGGCGCACGGCGCTACGATCCCAGCGACCCCAGTTCGATTCCCGTTCAAGGCCAACATCAGTGATGAGAATCTAAACCAGTCCTGGGCCTTCCCTATGTTGACTCAGCCCTAAATTAGAACCAGGTGCGATGTGTCAACATCAGCACTTGGGAAATTAAGGCGGCTGGGTTTGCGTGATGCTGGCCACCCACCCCATCCCATCGTGTGCCATGCCGGCCTTCAAAGGTGCTCGCGAACAGCACTTGCCCCAACAGTCTGCTGAAGGTTACACGGGGGGTCTATGTCTTTGTTGTGTGTGCATACCCAGGTGGAGCCGCTTGCGCCCCTTGTGGTGAGGAATGAGCACCGGCTTCAGGTCCACGTGCGGCAGAATCATAGGCTCCAGCCGGTACGCCACGGGGTCCAGCTACGAGCACAACCACCACCCCACCGACAACCACAACGACGTTCATAGCAACCACACCAACAGGCAACCACCACCACCGACATCACTATCGTCGTCGAGCCTCTGAGTAGGTGCTTGATCTTGAGGTAAGTGGACTAGGTGAGTTGGCGGTGAGTAGTAGGGCAGGTGAGTGGTGGTGTAGTTGAGGGGTGAGGTAGGTGATTGGTGGGGTAGGCGAGTGGTGGGGTAGTTGAGGGGTGAGGTAGGTGAGTGGCGGTGTAGGTGAGTGGCGGTGTAGTTGAGTGGCGGGGTAGGTGAGTGGCGGTGTAGGTGAGTGGCGGTGTAGGTGAGTGGCGGGGTAGGTGAGTAGCGGGGTAGGTGATTGGCGGGGTAGGTGAGTGGCGGTGTAGGTGATTGGTGGGGTAGGCTAGTGGTGGGGTAGTTGAGGGGTGAGGTAGGTGAGTGGCGGTGTAGATGAGTGGCGGTTTAGGTGAGTGGCGGTTTAGGTGAGTGGCGGGGTAGGCGAGTCACCGGATGGTAGATGTTGTAGAAACCGGGGCACGTGGGGAGGCGGAAGGCCTGGTCCAGGCTGTCCAGGCCGCGCACGGTGAGGAACATGCCGATTGGTGAGCCCAGAGCAAAGAAGCTCCGCGGAGAGAACTCCAAACGGGGATAACGCACAGACACCTAGAAAGACAAAGATCCCCCGTAAAGCCTTGACAGACTGTTTGGGCAAGTGCTGTTAGCGAGCACCTATGAAGGCCGGCACGGCACAAGAGGGTGTGGGTGGCCAGCACCACGCTCAGCCGCCTTTGTCTCCCCAGTGGCGATGTTTTTACACACTGCACCCAGGTACTCAATTGAGACTGAGTCGACCTAGGGGAAGCCCAGGACTGGTTCAGATAATCGTCACTGGTGTTGGCCGTGAGCAGATATCGAACTCGGGACGCTGGGTTCGTAGCGCAGCGTGCTAACTGCTACACACACACATACACAGTGACACACACACAGTGTCACACACACGCACACAGATCACCATATGGGTGCGCACAAACACTTCCCCCAACAGCCTGACAAATGGTAGGGGGGGGGGGGAATCTTTGTCTTTGTTAATGTTTGGCGGTATGTTTGTAAATACACGTGTTTGTTTGTGTGTGGTTGTGTGCTGGAGTGCAATTTAATTCAGCACGTTTAAATGTTTGTTTGTGGTCATGTATGGGGATTGCTTATGGTTTATACATCGTGTGCGTGCATGTGAGTGAGTGTGTGGAGGAGGCTCGTGAAGGACGCTACTGGGCAGTTGGAGGCAGTTGTCCTCCAGCAACAACAGAGGGCAAAGGAGCAACGCTCACAATAACAAGTGGAGTCGCCGGTCGGATCAAACACAGCAAGTTGGCACAGGCGAAGACTAAACACAACAACTACTACAGTTCTCGTTAGCCACTCAGTGGTGGTGACGTCACCACGGCGCTTGTGCCAGGCTAGTTGCACCAAGGTGCTTCTCTTACACAAAGACAAATATACCCCGTATAGCCTGAACAGACTGTTGGGGCAAGTGCTGTTATAGCGAGCATTTACTTTAACACACACTTACACATTAGGTGACGTACACATACTGGGGAGGCAGGGGGGACAGTGGGGGGAGGGAGGTGGGGGGATGGGGAGGAGAGGGTGGGGAGGGAGTTGCGAGGCAGAAACGAGGAGGGAGGGGGGAGGGGGTGGAGGGGAGAGGGGAGGGAAGGAGGGGAAGGAGGGGAGAAGAGGGAGGGGGAGAGGAGGTAAGGAAGGGGGAGGGAGGGGGAGGGAGGGGGAAGGGGGGAGAGGGAGGGAGAGGGAGGGGGAAGGGAGGAGAGGGAGGGAGGGGGAACGGGTAGGGGAGGTGAGGGGTAGGAAGGGAGGGAGGGGGTAGAGGAAGGGGGTGGAGGGGGTGGAGGGGGTGGGGAGAAAGGGGGGGCTGACCGACCTGTCCGGTGCCTGATGCAAAGCACTGGTAGTCGACGTGCAGCGATGAGACGGCGCCCGACAGCCCCCGGCAGAGCTGGCCCCGCGCCCCCTCTGCTGAGGCCCCACCCCCCACAGGCGCCGGCGACGCCGACCGTGCCGCTCGCCGGCGCTCGCGCTCTGACTGGCGCCGCTTCTATGGGGGTCACGCACGAGGGTCACTGTTCTGTATCTCACCGTGTCTCACCGTGCCGTCTCCGTCTTACCGTGTGGTATATAGTCCGGCAAAACAACCCCTACCTCCTTGTGGTGCCGGACGGGCAACGCTGTCGTGGGCAGTGCTGTGGGGGGAGGGTCAATTCCGATTGGCCTTTCCCCTCATGGCGTTTGTGACCACTGCAGCAGCCAAATGGGGGCTCTGGACGGGTGCAAGGGGCTGGTAACACCTCCACCTTCAATTAATTACTGCTAAACCACGGAATTGGCAGAGCCAGGAGACTGAATCCTTACCCTCGGAGCTCCTCCAGAAACAACAAAAAATCAATACGTGTGGCCATGTGGAATGTTCGAACGCTCACTGTGGAGGAGAGGCTGCCACTCCTCTGTCAGGAGCTGGACCGGTACCGCCTGGATCTCTGTGGTATTCAGGAGGTCCGGTGGACCGGCTCTGGCTCCTGCCACCATGAACGGTGGACAGTCCTCTTCTCGGGGCAGGAGACTGCCAAATAACAGTGAGTGGCTCTTCTTCTGAACAAAAGAATGAAGGGGGCGTGGGAGCATGGCGGTGAGGTGTGGGAAGCAGGAAGCACCAGGCTACTTTGGGCTTGCCTTCCTATCAACCAGAGCCGAGGAGTGGTGGTCGTGGTTACTTATGACCCCACTGAAGATGAACATCCATGGAGGGATGCAGGCAAGGCCGAAGAGTCAGATGCCTTCTCTGACCTCCGTCACAGGTGCTAGCTAAAGTGGTCCCTTGGGATAGAGTCAACTTGTTGGGTGACTTCAATGCCCGAGTTGGTCATGATACTGGCACCTAGTCTAGAGTGATTAATTGGAAGGCATGGGCCAGATCAGCTCAATAACAACAGTAGGAGACTGCTAGATTTTTGTGCAACCCATGGGCTTGTAATTACCAACACGCTGTTCTGGCATCGGCGCATCCACACAACATCATGGATACATGCCGGGTCCAAGCAAAAACATCTGCTGGACTACATAGTAACGGAACAGCGGATGCGGGCCCATGTCCTGGACACCAGGACCTACCATGGAGCTGATCTGCCCTCTGACCATCGACTTGTCATCTGTAAGATGTGCCTGCCATTCTTCCCCTCCAGTGGTGGGTGTACACCCAGGACGCCATTCATACCCTTAGTGGCATGGTCTTAGCTAGCTGATGAAAGTTGCAGGCAAGAATTTAATCATCGCTTGCGGCTGGGGTTGGCATCGTCCCCCACTCCTCCTGATGTCGAGGGGAAATGGGCGAGGTTTAGGACTGTGGTTCCTGCCGCTGCAATGGCTGCTTTGGGTACACGGGTCCAGACCTCCTCAGAGACCCTGGCTGACAGAGGAAGTGTTCAAGCTGGCTCAGAAAAATCGACAAGCCCACTCTCATCGGCTACAGCATCCCACGTCGGAGAATAAGGAGGCTTACCGCAGCCTTCGTTTGGAGGTTCAGGGAGCCGTGAAGCGCTGCAAGGATGGGTGGTGGTCGCGGGTTGCTGAAGAGATGGAGTCTGCCTCAATGGCCCGCGATCACAAATCACTCTTTAATTCCATCAAATAAGTAACCTGCAGTGCCACACCTATTACCATCATTAGGGGAAAGAACGTTGATCCAATCTCCAACCCCCAGGAACAGGTTGGCAGATTTGCTGAGCATTTCTGTGAGGTTCTGGAGGAGGGGACATCACTCAGCCTGGATAACAACGTGGCACAAAGTGGGGATGACCCTGCTGAGGCTGCGGTGCCTCAAATATTGGTCACCCCCTGTGTGTGGCTGGCTGAGGTGCCATCTGTAGAGGAAGTACTGAAGGCGATCCAGAGTCTGAGACCAGGAAAGGCACCGGGCAGAGATGATCTCCCAAGCAAAATGCTGAGGGAGGGTGGCGTTTGTGCACAGACTGCCCTACATGACAGTCTGGACCACTGGACGGGTTCCGCAGGACTGGAAGGATGCCATGGTGGTCCCCCCGCACAGACTGTAACAACTACAGGGGCATCTCACTCCTCAGTGTGCCGGGAAAGGTCCTGGCAAGGATTATTCAACATTGCCATGCTAGGCACGCTGAGGAGAGGCTTGTGGAGCCCCAATGCGGTTTCAGGAAAGGGCAGTCCTGCACAGATGCCATATTTTGTCCGTCTGCTACAGCAGAGGTGTAGGGAATTCCAACAAGACCTACATCTCTGCTTTATTGACCTGGTCAAGGCCGATGATACCATCAGTAGGTCTGGGCTCTGGGTTGTTCTTCGTGCTTTCGGAGTCCCTGACCGTCTGCTCACGATCATTAAAGACCTTCATAATGGTGAGCGGCCCGAGTAAAACTACGTGGTCGGGAGTCGGAGCCATTCACTGTTCACCTAGGGATGCGACAGGGATATCTACTGGCTCCCACATTATTTAACATTTATTTCGACCACGTAGTTCGTGAAGCCTTCAATAGCTGTACCGGAGGAATTTCCATCTGGTACAGATACAATGGGAGGCAGATTGATGCCCGGGTGCGATCAAGGGATGGCTCCCTATTGCTCAACCATGTTATGTATGCCGATGATCTGGTAATTGCTGCTCACTCAGAAGGAGTTGGAGGCGCTGCTGCTGAACCTGGAGCTTGCCACAAAGAGGTGGGGCCCTTACCATCAGCCCCACCAAAACTAAGTACATGCCTAGGTATTTTGTACCATCAGACACTCCACCCCCACAACTCCCAATTGGTGATGGGGCAGTTGTGGAGAGAGTGGAGAGTTTCCCATACCTGGGCAGTGTGCTCATCACCGGTTCCGGTTTAACAGTAGAGGTCTCACTCCAAATCAGTCAAGCGGCATTATCTTTTCATCGGTTGCGTAACGCTGTGTAGAAGCAACCTGGTCTGTCGCTCTGCACGAAGCTTCAGGTCTTCTCGGCCACAGTCATTCCCTCCCTTCTCTACGCTTGCGAAACGTGGACCCCCCTAATGGAACATCTTCGCCGGTTATAAACATTTAGGCTGGCCTGCCTACAATCCATCCTGGGTTTAACCAGGCTGGATTGTGTGAGGAGCTCACAAATCCTTGAAAGATCTGGACAAAGATCTGGACAAAGTCCCATCGGTGAGCTCGTCCGGCAGGCAAGGCTGCGTTGGCTGGGCCATGTAGCCCGCATACCCAGCCACCGCATGTCTAAACAGCTTTTGTTCGGCCGGATCGAGGGGGCTAATCGGGCGTGGCACGGGGTAGACAAGAGATGGAGTGATGTGGTACAGCAGGATGTGGAGCTGAGTGGACTTGCCGATGACTGGCACCAGCGGTGTCAAGATCGGCCTCTGTGGAGGAGGCTCGTGAAGGACGCTACTGGGCAGATAGAGGCAGTCGCCCTCCAACAACAACGGAGGGCGGGGAGTGACGCTCACAACAACGAGCGGAGCACCGGGTGGCAAAAGCACAGCAAGTTGCTACAGTAGGGGGCACAAGTGGTGTATCAGCCAGTCGTCTCAGTCAGTCGACCTGTGGCATCTGGGTCTGCCCCGTGACCTCCTGCCAGCGGGCGTTCGACACTTCACGTGGCCTCAAGGTGCACATAGCCTGGCACAAGCGTCGTGGTGATGTCACCGCCACTTAGTGGCGAATGGCGGTTGTTGTTGTTGTGTTGTATCTTACTATGTTGAGTCTCGCTATGTTGCATCTCACTGTGCTGCATCTCACCTGTGCACTCACTCTCTCCTTCACAAATCCGCACAGTTTCTTCCGAGGTCCCAGAGGAATTCCCATCTCCTTCAGATCATTCTCACTACACAGCAACTGTCAAGACACACACAAATGATACACACACACACACGATACACACACGTACACACCTTATACACGATACACACATGATACACATAATACAGATTTCAGACTTCAGATCTTTAAGGGATATGTTAGCTCCTCACACAATTCAGCCTGGTTAAACCCAGAAAAGGCTCAGATGTTCCTTTTAAGGGCTCCACGTTTCGCAAGCATAGGGGAGGGAGGACATGACTGTGGCTGAGAAGACCCAAAGCTTCGTGTGGAGCGACAGACCAGATAGCTTCACACGTTATGTAGTCGATTAATAGATAATGCTGTCCGACTAATTCGGAGTGACACCTTTGTTGCTAAACTGGAGCTGGTGATAAGCACATGGCCCAGTGTTTGGTGACATAGAATACTCAGGCAGGTGCTTTTTTTGTATGGGGCTAATGGTAAGGCCCCATCTCTTAGTAGCACACTGCAGGTTCAGCAGTAGCATCTCCAGCTCCTCCTTTGAGTGAGCAGTAGCCCAGACCTACTGATGGTATCATAGGCCGTGACCAGGTCAATATTGCACAGATGTAAGTCCTGTTGAAATTTCCGAGACCTATGCTGTGGCAGACGGACAGAAAACATGGCATCTGTATAGGACCGCCCTGGCTTGAAACTATATTGGGGCTCCGCAAACCTCTCCTTAGCGTGCCTTGCAAGGCGATGTTGAATAATCTTTGCCAGGACCTTTCCCAGCACACTGAGGAGGGAGATGGCGCTGTAGTTGTTACAGTCTTTGCAGGCTCTATTGAAATTCCTTACACCTCTGCTGTAGTACACAGATCGAGAGTATTGTGTCTGTGCCGGACTTCCCCAAGACTTCACAGAAATTCTCAGCAAACCTCTGAACCTGTTCCTGGGGGCCTGAGATTAGATCACCCTTCTTTGCCTTAAGAATGGTATTAGGTATTTAGAGTATGTGGCTGGGATAAATTACCACGTGATATGCCACTTCATTGAAATCATTTTTGGCCAAGTCGCTTCCATCTCCTCAACAACCCACAACCACCACTCATCCTTGTAACGCTGGATGGCTTTCTCAGGTAGCTGGGTTCGTGGAGCAGCACGCTAACCCGCTGCACTACGTAACAGCCACCATTCACACTCTGAGGCCAGGTGCACTCTGAGGCCATGTGAATTGTCGAAGGCTCACTGGCAGGAGGTCACGGGACAGACCCAAATGCATTGGGTTGTCTGAAATGACTGGCAGATGCACCAGCTGTGCCCTCCAACGTGCCACCTTGCTACATATAAATTGCCCGGCACTCCACTCGTTGTAAGTGTCATTCCTCTGCCTTCCGCTGTTGTTGGGGGGTGACTGCCTCAAACTGCCCATGACACGATATACACCTACATCTATAGACAAAAATCCCCTGTATAGCCTTAACATACTGTTGGGGCAAGTGCTGTTAGCGAGCACCGATGAAGGCCAGCCTGGCACAAGGGGGTGGGTAGCCAGCATCACGCCCGGCCACCTTTATCTCCCTGGTGGCAATGTTTACACATTGCACCAGGCACTCATTTAAGGCTGAATCGACCGAGGGGAGACGCAGGATCGGTTTAGATAATCGTTACTGATGTTGGCCATGGGTGGAAATCGAACTCGGGTCACTGGGTCCGTAGGGCAGCACGCTAACCGCGACACCAACACTCCTCACAACATCTACAGACACGCACACATGCTCAAACAGCGACACACGGACCAGTGCACACAGACACATACCATGGCTCTTGCGCACCCACGCATGATTACACTCTCTCACACGGTCTCGCACGCACACACTCACAAGGGACAAAGATCCTCTCTCTTTACAAATTGTCTGGTGATGCTACTGCTGCTGCGTTGGCAGTGGTGTGCCCAAGGACAAACAACAAAAACGAATCGAGATTTGAAAACAAAAACTAAACACGTTCACCAATGACACTGTGGCCTTAAAAGTAAAAAATATATAAATAGGCCACGTTTCGTGCAATGGTTATTATTCATAGCACTTAAATCCAATCTTTGAAAAGAGATTACTAGTGGAAGAAGGGCTGTTAGCGATGACCTATTAAGGCACATTTTGTTGATCTTGGCAGAGGTCCAGGACATCTTCATATATTCGTTACCTACGTTGGTCGTGAATGGGAATTAAACTCAGGTCACCAAACTTCGTAGCTCAGCGCACCAGCCATTGTGCCATCGCTCCCCACACAACAGACTGTTAGCTCGAGTGCTGGGGTCGCCTGGATTGTAGTGCAGCGCGCTAAAAGCAACACTACCACTCCCAAAGGCAAAGACAAAGATCCCCCCGTATAGCCTTAAGCGACTGTTGGGGCAAGTGTTGTTAGTGAGTATCATCTATACAGGTGGGCACAGCACACAAGGGGGTGGGGGTGGCCAACACCACATCCAGCCACCTCTGTCTCCCTGAGTGGCGATGTTTGCTATACACCGCACCAGGTATGGCAATACCTAGACGACGAATGTCAAAACAACGTAAATCAAAGGGATTTACAAGTTAGGTCAGTGGAGACGAAGGCTGAGAGGCTACGGATAAGAGACAGGATACGGATGATGGTGCTGTCAGCGACGCCAGTGCGGGGTGTTAATAATAAGGCGACGATAAATTTCCGAAATGACGTAAAAGGGGGGAGACGTAAATCGGCGTATTACCACTCATTTAAGGCTGAGTCGACCTACAACTCCCCCATGCACGATCGCATCGCTAACCCTGCCGCCGTCCTCCCCGTGTCCTCACCAGCGACTCCATATCCACCCTCTCCCTATCCAGCACGGCACGGAAGTCGTCCAGTCCCAGGGAGGATAGAGCCCCCTCTAATCCGGGGGGGGCTCCTCCTTCCTCCTCCTCACTGTCGTCGTCACCGCCACCTTCGCCGCAGCCGCCAGCACCACCGCCGCCCTCGCCTGTTTCATCCCTGCCAGGCCCCTCGGCCTGGGGGATTGAAAACATGGAAGAGAAACCACGCAGTCCGCACTCTCCAATGTTCTCCCACGCTCTCTCCCACACTCTCTCCCACGCTCTCTCTAATGCTCTCTCTCACGCTATCTCCCCCGCGCTCTCCCACACTCTTCCAAGCTCCCCCAAGCTCTACCACGTTCTCTCCCACGTTCTCCTGCATTCTCTCTCATGCTCTACCAGGCTGTATATTTTTAAGTGATTTGTTTACCTATCCTATACTTTGCCCTCCTGTCATGTTTTTGTATTGTTTGTTGCTATTTAACACTTTGGCTTTCGTGACGAATATTATCCCACAGAGGTTTTTTGGGATAGGTGTAAATATAAATGTGTCGTTAAACCCACCACCACCCGACACAGCTAATTAGTAAAGTTTGTCACGTAAATAAAACGTGCCAATTAGTTACTAGTTCAGCACAAACTGGTTGTGTGTTGGCGAGTAAACCCACTACATTTACAATTCGAGTCGCGTGACGTTTCGCCGGGAATTACAACAACCAGCCTCATCAGGCGACAGCCAAAATTGTGGCGAAAACCTCCTGTTTCGGTCTTGTCACATTCTTTCCCGTCCCTGATGGACATCTGTGATAAAGATCTTTATAGCTCATCGGATTCCTCTAGTCCAAAACAATATTATGATTCTGTTATGATATAATTTGTACGACGCCGGCGCTGCCGACCCCTGACCTTGGCCGCTTCTCCGTTCGCGATGTCCACCTCCTTCTGGTTGCAGAGGAGGTCGAAGAGGATGAGCGAGCCTGGGGGCAGAGGTTATGCAAACAAGGGCCAAATAGGATCATGTGGTTATCAGCGGGTCCCGGGCAGCACCCAGACCCCCACGCCCATTCTGTAATGATATAAACAGCCGCCCCAACCAGGGAGTCACATGGGAAGGTTACGATGTTAGCGCTCCACCACTGGGATAGTCGCGTAATCGGCGCCACCCCCCTTTGAGGTCACGTGATCAGGTCACGTGATCAGTGCCGCTCCCCCCACGAGTTACGTGGTCAGTGTGCCGCACCCCTCTGGGGTCACGTGATCATAGCTCACGTGATCAGTGCCGCTCTCCCCCCCGAGTCACGTGGTCAGTGCCGCCCCGCTCTAAGGTCACGTGATCAGTGCCGCTCTGCCCACAAGTCACGTGCTCAGTGTCGCTTCTCCCGTGAGTCACGTGGTTAGTGTGCCACACCCCCTCTGAGGTCACGTGCTCAGTGTCGCTCCTCCCATGAGTCACGTGGTCAGTGTGCTGCACTCCCCCCCTTACACCCACTCACCGAGGCTGTGCCCGGCGAGGGAGATGCGCCCGCGGAAGGTCGGGTTGCGCTGCAGGAAGAGGCGGTGCAGGCGGTTGAGCTCCCCGCCCACAGTGGACACCATGGTCTGGCAGTAGGTGGGGCTGCTGTAGAAGAGGATGTCCAGCAACGTCTCGTTGGTGAAGTGGCGCAAACGCCCGATACTGGGCAGCGTGATCTTCTTCAGCTGCCTGGGGGTGCAAGCACACGCGAGTACACACGTGGGGACATACACACACACGTGCGGGGACATACACACACACACCTGGGTCGCCAGGTTCGTAGCGCAGCACGCTAACCGCTACACTACCGCTTCCCACACACAGGTACACACACGGGTACACGCACAGGTACTAACACACGCGTGGGTACGCACACACGTGGGTACACACACACGCGGGTACACACACGGGTGCACACGTGGTTACACACATACTGTACATGCATATACACACACGCAAGTATACACAAAGGTACACACATGCGGGTACAAAGACAGAGGTTGTGTTCATGTTTGTTGGTACACAAACACAAGGAGATAAAGGGAGACGGGGAGAAACATGGACATACAGGAAGAAACGAGCAGACACGTGGAGGAAGGAGACATACGGAGAAATACAGGGATATGCAGAAAGACACGGGGAGACACAGGGAGACACACGGAGACACCAGAAAAACGTGGGGAAACAGAGAAACATGGGGAGACACGCGGCGACACACGGGGAGACACATGAAGACACACAGAGACACTTGGAGAGGTGGGGAGACGAGGAGCCGCACCGGTCGAGGCCCGTGGCGTCGCCGTGCAGCGCGCGGTGCCAGTGCACTGGCAGGAACTCGACACGCCGCACGCGTTGCTCATCCATGCCGCGGCGGAAGTGACTCTGCAGCAGCGCCAGAGACACACTGCGGAAATCATCCACTGTGGTCGACAAGGAGACACACAGGGAGGAACGGGTAAAGGGGAGAAACGGGGACACACGGGAACAAACGGGGGACACGGGGACCACGAATACGCACGCGCACAAACTGTCAAGATTGGCTTCTGCGGAGGATACTCGTTAAGGACGCTACTGGGCAGTGCCTGGCTGAGAGCATTCTGAGGCTCTCTGGGCAGTTGGAGGCAATCGCCCTCCAGCAGGAATGCAGGACGAAGGAGCAACGTTCACAACAATGAGCTGAGTGCCCGGTGGCTGAAACGCAGTCGGAGTGGGGAGCACAGGTGGTGCATCTACCAGTCAACTTAGGCACCTGGATCTACCCCAAGACCTCCTGCCAGACATTTTTCAACATGGCCTCAAGGTGCACCTAGCCTGGCACATGCGCCGTGGTGACATCAATGCCACTTAGTGAATGGCGGTTGTTGTTATTGTTATTTTTGTCTGAGTTTGTGAATGTGTGTATATGTGAATTTGTGAAGGTGTGTATATGTGAGTGTATGTGTAGTAGCATGGTTGGAAATTGTGTACATTTCCCATCCATCCTTACCTGTAGTAGCAGGCATGTGTCAACAGGGGGTGGTATACTGAATGGGTAAGATGAGTCGGCCCGTTGGGCAAATAGGGCTCCCCAGACCCCAAGAGAGGGGCTGGGGGGATATTCCAGAGCCCCCTAGAGAGTTCAAGAAGGAAGGCGTGGCTAGGGGTGGAGAGACCCTGGAACGGGTATAAAAGCCGGACGCCTGGACGGGTCTGGCAGTCATCGTCAAGCTGAAGACTGAAGACCCACTTAGGCTAGGACCCTGGGAACCCCCGGACCCGAAGTCCTTCTAAGGGCCGGGACCGAGTGGGCCAGTGGTCGGGTCAGCTAGCCTCCCCTAGGACCCCTTAGCCGGAGGGCTGAGAGTACGTAGCCCCAGTTGATAGGGCACGCTAGCCCGGCGGCTATATCTCCCCAGGTATCAGGTGGAGGGGCCGCTACCCCTTTGTGTTAGGGATCGTTACTGTTGTTATTGGAATAAACGTGTTTCCTCTACAAGCCGTCTCTACTCTCCGTGAACCCACTACATATGTATGTGTGTATATCAGTTTGTGGTAGATCAGTGAGTGCGAGTGTGTGTACATGCGTGCGTCACACGAACCGCACTCCACGATGGTCCTGAAGCGGAGATCGCACACGGGGCCGATGCCATGCACCATGAATACCAGGTGGTCCACCTCCCCCACCTCCCCTGCAACGCAAAGCAAAGGTCCCCCATGTAGCCCACACAGGCTGTTGTGGGCAAGTGCTGTTAGCGAACGGCACCTTTCACTCAAAACTGCTCTAGAGGAGTTGTACACCCCTAGCTGCCACTGCAATTTAGTGGCCTAAAATACAATGTTTCGCTCCGGATGATCGCTGCAAAGTATGATCTGTTTTGATTTAGTGTGCTGATCTTAAAGGTGCATTGAAAAATGTTGATACTCCGACTGCTGCTCCTGCTGTTGTGGAGTGACTCATGCAGCCAGCTATGGCTGCAGAGTTTGGTAGTACATGTTGTTTACGTCGTTTACAGTGATCCCTCATTTATAGCGGTTAATGGGGACCGGAACCCCTCGCGATAGGTGAAAATCCGCGAAGTAGGATTGGCCCCCTAGGAATTTCCGTATATGTGTGTGTGGGCACCAGAATGTTTAAAATATGTATATTTATACTTTATATATATATTTTACTTAAATCTATTTAATTATAAAACCTTAATATTATACATTCACTCTCTCTCTCTCATACGATACGTATTATGGTGTTCTACACTCACCAATGACAGTAGTATCTTGAGACTTGACTCCAGTAATGACGACGACGACGATGACAATGACGATGACAATGACGACGATGACAGACCTGTGCAGTTCGATGAATGTGATGATGAATGATGATGATGATGGTGTTACTGCACAGGTATAATGAGGCCTTTAAATCAGTTCGAAAAATCCGCGATGCACTGAGGCCGCGAAACTTGAACCGCGAAGTGGCGAGGGATTACTGTATTGTGAAAATTCGGTCACAGTTCCTATGACCACTGTTTCATTGCTTTTATGGCTTTATTTTGGTGATTTTCGAAAAGTCTTTTGGTTTGGCCATGTTTGTTTGTTGTAGTACAGAGTTAGACTGATAGCCTTAATCTAAGTTGTCTTGTGGTTGTTGTTGTTTGACTTGCATCCCACTGGGATTTTTGCACACAGTGTTGGTGTACGGTCTTTTTCTGCAATATTTTGCTGTCTTTTCTTGGATTTTCTGTTTGCACATAGTCACTTTAATATGTTTTCTTGTTCATGTCTTTGTTTTTTGTTTGTTGCGGTTGCACCCGATTCAAGAGCCGAATGGCTCACAGGGCTATACCTAATAAATGAACTTGAACTTGAGGAGGTGGTGTGGTCATAAACGCGCCCGGCCACCTTTGTCTCCCAAGTGCTGATGTTTACACACCACACAGGCTACTAATTTAAGGTTAAGTCGACCTAGGGGAAGCCCAGATATTCGTCACTGATATTGGTGGCTATGAGAGAGAATTTAACTCAGGTCATTGGGGGCGCAACGCCCTAACCGCTGTGATGATACTCCCCACACACACACAGCCCTGACACCACCCCAATGTGATCCCTATCTCACCATAACCCCGACCTTACCGTGACCCTGAACTGAACATGACTTCGACATCACCATGACCTCACTGTGACCCCGAGCTCACGTTACCCCGACCTCACCGTGACCCTGACTCTGCCCTCCCCGTGACCCCAAGCTCACCGTCGGGGATCTGTTCGGCGAGGTCGTCGATGCCGCGCTTCACCACGCGTGGACGAGCAGCGCCATCCGGAGTCGTCCCCCACTCGTCCGGCGGAGACAATGGGGAGAACTGCACGATCACCTGACACACAAAGATAAAGATACCCCCCCCATGTAGCCCTTAGAGACTCTTCGGGGAAGTGCTGTGCTGTTAGTGAGCATCTCTAAGAAGGCCGATGTGACAGACGGGCGGGTTGCGTGGCCAGCATGACACCCGACCGACCAACTTTGTCTTCCTAGTGCTGATGTTTACACACCGCACCAGGTACTTATTTGAGGCCGAGTCGACCTAGGGGAGGCCCAGGACCGGTTCAGGTGTTTTTTTACCCATGTTGGTGACCGTGAACAGAAATCGAACTCGGGTCACTGGCTTTGTAACAGTCTACTAAGCACTATAGCGCGCCCCATGCAGATACAAAAACACACGTAAAAAAGACAAAGATCCCCCATATAGCCTTGACCAGACTATTGGGGCAAGTGTTGTTAGGGAGCACACAAACAGGCGGGTACACACACACACGTGGGTACACAATGACCCTTCCCCTCTCCACCCACACTCACTCCATTTGTCCGTGTGCTCACTCTCACCTTGGGGTTGTGCATCACGATCGTTTCTCCCGACGGGAACTCTAGTCGCCGGTGCCATGAGTTGTTTTCAATCGTCTTCTTATACTCAGCCTGAGACACAACAGGGAGACAGAAGGAGGAGATGCAAGGAGACACGGTGGAGACACAAGGAGGAGACACACGGGGGAAGACACAGGGAGACACACGGAGACACACGACAGATAGAGATATGGTAATGCACAAACACAGACACACAAACAGAAAAATTAGTCCCCGTATCTTCCCTAGTGTCCCCATGTGTCTATGTATCTTGATCTGCTTGCTGAACCCCTCGTGTATCCCCATGTCTCTCCGTGCATAACACTGTGTGTCCCTGTGCCTTCCCGTGCCTACCTGTGTGTCCCCGTGTGTCCCCCATGTCTCCATGTGTCCCCCCCCCCGCCGTGTGTTTCTCCCCCGTACCTCGATCTGCTCGCTGAACTCCTCCCCGTAGGGAGTGAAGCGCGCCTCCGCATCCCCCTTGCTGAACCAGCAGCAGCGCCGCACTTCCCCCGGTGCCTCGTCCCAGTAGACGGCGCGTCGCTCGCGCTCGTACAGACTCACGTCGTAGCGCCCGCCAAAAGTGGACACCACCACGCTCTCCGGGTCCGGGTGGACTAGGACAAGCCGGAAGAACCACCAACACCACCATCAATGGTGACGATGATGATGATTACAAGTAGACGGGCGATTGATGGTTATTGTTAACGATGATGGTAGAAAAACGATGCGTGTGAAATGACAACGATTATGATGATGAAACAACTCTAAATATGTATTTAGTCAGGCTCCCGTGCATCGAACCAGGCTCCCGCGTATCGAGCCAGGCGAGAAGCGCCTCACCAGAGTTGAAGGCCTCCTCCAGGGCGAGCGAGTCATAGAGGCTGAACGGCGTCCACACCTCCTTCCCCTCCACGCTGCGGCAGAAGAACCAGTGGTGCTGCACCGCCTCGTACACCAGCCCGGGGGGTGGGGGCTGGGCCCCGGGGGACAGTGCAGGCTGACCCCCAGGAGGCAGGATTTGACTTGGGGGGGGCGGGGTTTGGCCAAAGGTGGGTAGTGACTGGCTACCTGGGAGAGGCGCATAGCCACCTGTGGTAGGAGGAATATATCCGGTAGTGGGAGGGGCATAACCGGTAGTGGGATGGGCATAACCGGTAGGGGCATAATCGGTAGTTGGAGGGGTATATCCGGTAGTGGGAGGGGCATAACCGGTCATGGGAGGGGCAAAACTAGTAGTGGGAGGAGCATATCCGCCAGTGGGAGGACTGTATCCGCTTGCGGGAGGATTGTATCCGCTCGTGGACGGGGTGTAACCTGCAGGGGGAGCGGTGTATCCAGTCATGGGGGGGGTGTAACTGGCGGGAGGAGGGACGTAGCCCACTGTGGGTGGGGCTTGCCCAAAGGGGGGTGGGGTCTGCCTGCTTGTGAGCGGAGTCGCGCCGGCCTGCAAAACAAAGATCTTCCGTAAAGCCTTAACAGACTTGGGACAGGTGGTGTTTGCGAGCACCTATGAAGGCCGGAAAGGCACACGAGGGGGTGGGTAGCCGGCACCACGCCTGGCCGTCTTTGTTTCCCGAGCAGCGATGTTTACACACTGCACCAGGTACTCATTTCAGACTGAGTCGACCTAGGGGAGGCCCAGGACGTGTTCAAATAATCGTCACTGGTGTTGGCCGTGAGTGGGAATCGAACCCAGATCGGCGGGTTCATAGCACAGCGCGCTAACCGCTGTGCTACTGCTCTCCACAGACACACACGCAAAGACAAAGATCCCCCATATAGCCTGCAACAGACTGTTAGGGCAAGTGCTGTTAGCGAGCACCTATAAAGGCCAGAATGGCACACAGGGGGTGGGTGGCCAGCACCACGCCCGGCCGCCTTGTTCTCCCCAGTGGCCATGTTTACACATCGCACCAGGCCGAGTCGACCTAGGGCAGCCCCAGGACCGGTTCAGATAATCGTCACTGATTTTGACCGTGAGCGGGAATTGAACTCGGGTCGCCAGGTTCGTAGCACAGCGCGCAAACCGCTACATTCCCCACACACACAGACACACATGTTTTGAGTTACAACCGGGCGTGCGGTATGGAGGGCCGTGGCTGCGGTTGCCACACGGCAGTAGAAGTGGGGTTTGGTACAACGGCAGTTCGCCAATCGGTGGGTTCACATGCGGTAAAGCGTGGGCACTCCAACCAAAACATCTGGCCAGCGTGGAGAAGAGGAGACCCAATAAACTGTCTCTCCAGAGCTCCCGCCAGTGCAGGGACTATTTCACCAATCGTGTCATCTGTCCCCCCACCGCCTCGTCTAAGCCTCACCTGGGGTTGCTGTGGGGGGTTCATGGGAAGGGGGGGGGGCCCGCCCCCACCCCCCACCATCTGTGGGGGGGGCACGTAAGGGTTGGCCCGGCTGCTGAGCGCGGTGTGGCGGTACGGGTTGAGGCCGGCTCCGGCCGTGGGGCTGGGACCACGGGAGGTGGGAAGAGGCTGCGGATCGCACGACACACGCACCGTCAGCAGGCCAACGCCGTTGGTGCCACCACCACCGCCATCACCAGCAGCAGCAGCCGAAGCCATCGCTGATGGTTCTGCAGCTGCTGCACTGGAGACGTGCGGTGACCTCCATAACCAGCCCCGACAGTCTCATCTCACAGAGACCCACAGGCTCACACAGAGACCCACATACTCACACACAGACCCACAGACTCAGACCCATCTATCCTCTGCCTCCCACCATGGCTCTTAGGTCTTCTCTTCCCCCTGGTCACCGGACTCATGGAGACCACTCCAATGCCCTCCCCCATCAAATCCATTCGTATCTACAGCACAAATCTGCCACGTTTCCTTCCGCACGACTGCATGGCTTGTTTTGTGTTGCTATAATCATAATTGTAATTGAACTTGGAACGCGCCGTACAAAATCTGCTCGCTCTCGCAGAGACGGGACAACTCCGACGCGCGAGGAACCACAAACAGGAAGGCAGCAGCTACATGGTGAGCCGGCGCCTACAACTACAAGCTCCTGGGTCCTCTATATATCAAGGCGTTATCAGCCAACTAACAAGTGTTTGCATGTGCGAGGAAACCGGAGCATCCGGAGCAAACCCCACGTGTGGGAGGGGGGGGGGGACACTAAATCCAGTCCACACTTTTGCCAGGGTACGGCTCCTCCTCGACACCCACCCACGGGAAGAGAATTTCACAACATCTGTGTGGTGATCCGCCAACCCTCGCTGCTGCCTCCACCGCGCCGGATCGCTACAGGGAGCTACATGGATAGCCATCACCTGCCCGGCTGAAATTCCCAGCATCTGTCTCACACAAAGCTCTGCTTAAGTGTCAATAACTTCCTTTTCAAACTGCTTGGTTTTAATTCCAGCTCTCTGACCCATATTGTAATACAGACAGCACTCCTACTACCTCATCATTACCATCATCATCATCCCTACGACCAAGTCACACACATACTACAACACCCGCCATTCACCACTAAGTGGCGGTGATGTCACCATGGTGCCTGTGCCAGGCCAGGTGCACTTTTGACACCACATAAAGTGTGGAAGGCTCGCTGACAGGAGGTCACAAGACAGACCCAGGTGCCATGGGTAGATTGACTGAGATGACTGGCAGACATACGTACACACAGATACACACGTGTGCCACTGGTTTTGTAGCACAGTACATTAACCACTCCACCACCACTGCACCCGCACAAATACAAAGAACCTCTGTATAGCCTACACATGATGTTGGGCCAAGTGCTGTTTGCAAAGCACCTTTGAAGGCTGGCTTGGCGCAACACACCTCTGATTGGCATGGTTGGCTAAGTACGGAGCGAAAGAAGTTCAACATACATATAATAAAATCTTGTTATTTCGGTATTTGATCATTTGTAATTCGGGATAATTCGGCAGCGGCTGCGCTTTCGGCATATATACAGTATTAGTAATTCACATTGCCGTACCGAATGATCGAATTTCGGCATGCACGTGAAACGACGCCGTGCGCCATGACCAAAACAATGACTAAGTCAAGTGGTGGGGCGCGTGACGAGCATTAGTGCTGACCTGTTGCTTTGGGCTTTACCTTGTTTATGCACTCTGTGCAAGCCAACCCTCTCAGAAATGTCGTCTACATCTGACTTGTTTAAACCCATGTCACAAACACCCAGGCATAACCTACGTTCTACTAGCAGTGAAGCTTCCAATGCAGTCCCTTCAGTCTCTGGATATTCTTCCACAGACACCTCTATCAGCAGTGAAGTGCCACATCAGCTGATGTCGTCTGACAGCAAGTAAAATAATGTAGTAAACATTAATTGTTTTAAATGTGAAAATTAAATTTAATTTTTTATTTAGCGTAATTTGGTGTTTAAGTTATAGTTTAGTGAGGATACAGTACATTAAGTGCATACTAAGTACATTAAGCCCCACCTACCACATTGAACATACCACATCCTCCTCATTCACCTGCAGTGCTGGTTACTGATAGTGTAATTTTTTGGGAAAAACATTTTTGGAAAACAAATTCGGATTTTTTTTACCATGCCCAGCCACCTTTGTCTCCCCAGTACTGATGTTTACACACCGCACCAGGCACTCATTTGAGACTGAGTCCATCTCGGGGAGGCCCAGGACCAATTCAGATAATCGTCACCTGTGTTGGCCGTGAGCAGGAATCGAACTTGGGTCGCCGGGTTTGTAACGCAGCACACGAACCACTAAACTACTGCTCCACAGACACAAAAACAAGATCCCCCGTATAGCCCACAGACTATTGGGGCAAGTTCTGTGAGCGAGCACAGCACACGAGGGGGTGGGTGGCCAGCACCATGCTCGACTGCCTTTGTCTCCCTCATTAGTGGCAAATGATTTTACCCACCGCACCAGGTACTCATTTGAGGCCGAGTCGACCTAAGGGAGGCCCAGGACTGGTTCAGATAATCATCACTAGTGTTGGCCATGAGCGGGAATCGAACTCGGGACACCGGATTCATAGCACAGCGCGCTAACCGCTACACAACCGCTCCACAGACAAAAGACAAAGACTCCCTGTATAGCCTGAACAGACTGTTGGGGAAAGTGCTGTTAGCGAGCTCCACAGACACACACACACACGCACTCGACCCTGACACTCGACCCTGACACTCGACCCCTTACCTGACCCCTCCTCTGGCCCCTCACATGACCCCTCACATGACCTGCCCCTCACCTGTTTGCCGTCGCCCCCATTTCCCGCTGCACCCTCTGACCCCGTGAACGGCACAGGGCTCCGGGTGTAGGGGGAGCCGGAGTAGGGCGACCCGGACTGGGGGGCTCCCGACTGGGGGGCTCTGGAACTCCCCGGATTGGGGGGCCCAGGGTGCACGATGGAGGCGAAGGGGTCTGCGTGGGCCGCGTGGGCCGCGTGGGCGGCCTGAGAGAAGAAGCTGAACGTGGGCGGCGGAGCCTGGCCCACGAAGCTGTCCTCCTCGCCCGCTTCAACGCCATCATCTGAGGACGCAGGCGCACGGAAACACACAACCACGCTCGACGACCAGGTTCGACAACGACGCTTGACAACCACGCTCTACGACCACCCTCATACATACAGACACACTCTCATAATACAGACACTCATACATATGTAATGACACCTGCTGGCCGGGAAAGGGAAGCACGGGTATGGGCACGGTTAAAGTAACAACCAATCAGAGGAGAGGTATCTGGGGCAAAGGTAACAGGTGGGGTTAGCCGAGATACTCCGGGAACCTGCTCGAAGGTTCCACGAGAGGGCGTGGCCGGAGGCGGGGCCTAGCCAGGCCTGGGGTGATATAAGGGGGAGTGGACCCGGGGCTTGGGGTTCGGGTGTGGGGTCTTGGGTCCTGGCTGCATAGCTGCTTGCCGACATCTCTCTCCGTCGTCCGGCCACGTGGAAGATCTCCTGTGGGGTTTCCATCGCCATCATTGTCACGCCGCGAGCCAGCGCCGTAGCCGAGTGAGGGCGGTGGGACCATGCCGAGTGATCGGCTGTGTGTAGCTAGTAGAGACGTTAATATCTAAGTGTTGTACTCAGAGTGAGAAGAATGAGGTTGGCCTGTGTTGTGCTCAGTGTGAGAAATCAAAGAAGTACCCTCTACACGACGTGTCGCGGAAGTCGCTCATTACACATACAAACATACAAACAAACAACCGCCATTCACCACTAAGTGGCGGTGACGTCACCACGACGCTTGTGCCAGGCTATGTGCACCTTGAGGCCACGTGAAGTGTCGAACGCCTGCTGGCAGGAGGTCACGGGGCAGACCCAGGTGCCACGGGTCGACTCACTGAGATGACTGGCTTATGCACCACCTGTGCCTCCTACCGTGCCAACTTGCTGTGCTTTAGCCACCCGGCGCTCCAACTGCCCAGTAGCGTCCATCACGAGCCTCCTCCACAGAGGCCAATCTTGACACCGCTGGTACCAGTCATCGGCAAGTCCACTCAGCCCAGATCCTCCTGTACCACATCACTCCATAACTTCTCTAGCCCGTGCCGCACCCGTTGAGCACCCTCGATCCGGCCAAACAAAAGCTGTTTAGGCATGCGGTGACTGGGCATGCAGGCTCTATGGCCCAGCCAACGCAGCCTTGCCTGCCAGAGGAAGCTCACCGATGGGACTTTGTCCAGATCTTTCAAGGATTTGTGAGCTCCTCATACAATCCAGCCTGGTTAAACCAAGGATCGATCGTAGGCAGGCCAGCCTAAATGTTTCTAACCGGCGTAGAGGTTCCATTATGGGGGTTCACGTTTCGAAGCGTAGAGAAGGGAGGGAATAACTGTGGCCGAGAAGACCTGAAGCTTCGTGCGGAGCAACAGACCAGGTAGCTTCCACACAGCGTTACGCAACCGATGAAAAGATAATGCCACTCGACTGATTCGGAGTGAGACCTCTGCTGTTAAACCGGAGCAGATCATAAGCACACTGCCCAGATATGGGAAACCTTCCACTCTCTCCACAACTGCCCCATCACCAATTGGGAGTTGTGGGGGTGGAGTGTCCGATGGTACAAAATACCCTGGCAGGTGCTTAGTTTTGGTGGGGCTGATGGTAAGGCCCCACACCTCTTAGTAGCAAGCTCCAGATTTAGCTGCAGCGCCTCCAACTCCTCCTTTGAGTGAGCAGCAATTACCAGATCGTCATACAAAACATGGTTGAGCAATAGGGAGCCATCCCTTGACCGCACCCGGGCATCGACCATTGTATCTGTACCAGATGGAAATTCCTTCTGTACAGCTATTGAAGGCCTCACGAACTACGTGGTCAAAATAGATTTTAAATAATGTGGGAGCCAGAAGACATCCCTGTCGCACCCCAAGGTGTACAGAGAATGGCTCCGACTACTGGCCACGTAGCCCGCTCACTATAATGAAGGTCCTTAATGATCGTGAGCAGAGGGTCAGGGACTCCGAAAGCACAAAGAACAACCCAGAGCCCAGGCCTACCGATGGTATCATAAGCCTTGACCAGGTCAATAAAGCAGAGATGTAGGTCTTGTTGGAATTCCCTACACCTCTGCTGTAGCAGACGAACAGAAAATATGGCATCCGTGCAGGACCGCCCTTTCCTGAAACCGCATTGGGGCTCCGCAAGCCTCTCTTCAGCGTGCCTAGCAAGGCGATGTTGAATAATCTTTGCCAGGACCTTTCCCGGCACACTGAGGAGTGAGATGCCCCTGTAGTTGTTACAGTCTGTTCAGTCCTTCTTAAAGAGGTGGACCACCAGGACATCCTTCCAGTCCTGCGGAACCCATCCAGTGGTCCACACTGTTGTTATGATGTCATGTAGGGCAGTCTGTGCACAAACGCCACCCTCCCTCGGCATTTCGCTTGGGAGATCATCTCTGCCCGATGCCTTTCCTGGTCTCAGACTCTGGATCGCCTTCAGTACTTCCTCAACAGATGGCACCTCAGCCAGCCACTCACAGGAGGTGACTTCTTCCAATATTTCAGGCACCGGAGCCTCGGCAGGGTCATCCCCATTTTGTCCCACGTTGTTATCCAGGCTGAGGGATGTCCCCTCTCCCAGGACCTCACAGAAATGCTCAGCAAATCTGCAAACCTGTTCCTGGGGGTCGGAGATTGGATCACCGCTCCTTTCCCTAATGATGGTAATAGGTGTGGCGCTGCAGGTTACGTTTTTGATGGAATTAAAGAGCGATTTGTGATCGCGGGCCACTGAGGCAGACTCCATCTCCTCAGTAACCTGCGACCACCACCCATCCTTGCAGCGTCTCATGGCTCTCCGAACCTCCGAGCGAAGGCTGCGGTAAGCTTCCTCATTCTCCGACGTGGGATGCTGTAGTCGATGAGTGGACCTGTCGCTTTTTCTCAGCCGGCTTGAACACTTCCTCTGTCAGCCAGGGTCTCTGGGGAGGTCTGGACCGTGTACCCCAGGGGTGTCCAAACCTTTTACAAAGAGGGCCACATTTGATAAAGTGAAGATACTCGGGGGCCGATAGTTCCTTTTGACTTTTTTTAAACCACAAAAGTTACGTGAAAATACACTGTTATAAAACAATTTTCATTGTCACAATTACCTTTATTTTTAAAATGACAATGTAAGCAAATATAAGCCACTCAGGCAGACGTGAACAACTCTAAAAACACAATTCTGCCTTTCATTCAGTCAGATAACATTGAACAAACTGTATAGAATACCTTATATTTCCATGAGTTAAATATCTTTGCCTCATGAACATTTTAAACAGGAGTTATAAGTAATGCAAAGTGGTCTGTTATCATTAAACGTTAAAACAAGTGAATTTTGCCCTTGTCTTTTACAAGATCTTTCAGAAAGCAATAGTTTGTGTCACATCTACAGGTACATAACATCAACAGTTATAACCAAATCTTATTCAAGAGTTTAATAAAACAAGTGCCATAAGTCCAAGTGCATTAGTGTGCTTTAGGCTTATCACTGATAATAGTGACAGATGTTACCGTTCAAAACACTCAATTTCAGATTGATCAAGGAACAGATAACTTGCTGACACTAATGAGAAGGGTGATACTGAGATCTAGATTTCAGTAAAGAGACCAGGTCTGGCTTGAGGGCAGTGTTTGAGATACGTAAAATGCCACGCAAGTGGGAGTCACTCATCCTTGACCTCAATCGGTTCTTGTTTAAGTTCATGACCGAGAATGTTTGCTCACACAAATATGTGGAGCCGAATAAGCTCAGCATTTTCTTAGCGAATGACCGCATTTCTTTTTTTTCAGTCGCCATGGCAGAAATTACTCGAGAAGGGTTTGCGGCACGGATGCAGAGCCACATAGAATTAGAATGGTGCTGCCACCGTGTGGTGAAAGGAGGAATTGCATCTTTAAAGTTTTACAATTTATAAAACCGAAGCTGCGGGCCATATGAAATCTGACCGCGGGCCGTCATTGGCCCGCGGGCCGGACTTTGGACATGCCTGGTGTACCCAAAGCAGCCATTGCAGCTGCATGAGACACAGTCCTAAACCTCGCCCATTTCCTCGACATCAGGAGTGAGGGACGATACCAACCCCAGCCGCAAGCGATGCTGAAATTTTCGCTTGCAACTTTCAACAACTAGCTGAGAACATGCCACTAAGGGTTTGAATGGGGTCCTGGGTGTACACCCACCACCGGAGTGGAAGAATGGCAGGCGCATCATACAGATGACAAGTTGATGGTCAATGGGCAGATCAGCTCCACGGTAGGTCCTGGTGTGAAGGACATGGACCCTCATCAGCTGTTCCGTCACTATGTAGTCCAGCAGATGTTCTTGCTTGGACCCGGCATGCATCCATGATGTTGTGTGGATGCGCCGATGCCGGAACAACGTGTTGGTAATTACAAGCACATGGACTGCACAAAAATCTAGCAGCCTCCTGCTATTGTTATTGAGCTGATCTGGCCAATGCCTTCCAATCACTCTAGACCAGGTGCTACCAGCATCATGACCAACTCGGGCTTTGAAGTCACCCAACAAGATGACTCTGTCCTGAGGGGTCACTTTAGCTACCACCTGTGACAGGAGGTCATAGAAGGCATCTGACTCATCGGCTTTGCCTGCATCCCTCCACGGATGTTTGTCTTCAGTGGGGGCATAAGTAACCACGACCACCACTCCTTGCCTCTGGTTCATAGGAATGAAAGTCAAAAGTAGCCTGGGGCTTCCAGCTTCTCACACCTCACCGCCACGCTCCCACTTCATTCTTTTGTTCAGAAGAAGAGCCACTCCCTGTTGTTTGGCAGTCTCCTGCACCGAGAAGAGGACTGTCCATCCCTCATGGTGGCAGGAGCCAGAGTCGGTCCACCGGACCTCCTGAATACCACAGAGATCCAGGCGGTACCAGTCCAGCTCCCGACAGAGGAGTGGCAGCCTCTCCTCCGTAGTGAGTGTTCGAACATTCCACGTGGCCACACGTTGTGGTTTTTAGTTGTTTCTGGAGGAGCCCCAAGGGTAAAGATTCAGTCTCCTGTCTCCGCAAAATGGAGTTTGGCCAGGAGACGTCATAGATGCCTGTCCCCCCGGAGCCTCCGGCACAAGCTTATTAATTCAATTTTGTTGTCGTGGTTTAACGGTAAGTTAATTGAAGGTGGAGGGGTTACCAGCCCCTCGCACCCGCCCAGAGCCCCCATTTAGCCGCTGTGGTAGTCACAAGCGCCATGAGGAGAAAGGCCAATTTGAATTAGCCCTCCCCCCACAGCACTGACCACGACAGCGTTGCCTGTCCGGCACCACGAGGAGGTATGGAGTTATTTGGCAAACACTTTCATACAGACACTAGCATACAGACTCACTCATACATACACACTCGCATAGAGTTCAATTTTAGTTCAGTTTATTTTTACTTACCCTGTTTGCAAATAAGCTCTTACATCGCCTGTCATAAAAAAAGAACACTGCTTCCCCGACATATGCACAAGTCACAGTAAAGAAATTTATAATAAACTTATAACAAATAAGTGAAATAAAAAATTAGACAGCAAATCATAATCATACAGACTCACTCTCATACATAGACAAATATCCCCCATATAGCCTGAACGGACTGTTAAGGCAAGTGCTGTAAGCGAGCACCTATGAAGGTAGGCATGGCACACGAGGGGGTGGGTGGCTAGCACCACGCCCAGCCGCCTTTGTCACCCCAGTGGTGATGTTTAAACACCACACAAGGTATTCGTTTGAAGCCGAGTCGACCTAGGGGAGAACCAGCGACGGTTCAGATATTCGTCACTGGTGTTGGCCATGACCGGGAATCGAACCCGGGTCGCTGGGTTCGTAGCATATTGCAGCATGCCTACCGCTACGCCACTGCTCCCCACATACATACAGACACACTCTCATACATACATACAGATACACTCTCATACAGATACTCATCCATACACTCACTCTCATACATACAACAACCGCCATTCGCCACTAAGTGGCGGTGAAATCACCACGGCGCTTGTGCCAGGCTATGTGCACGTTAAGGCCACGTGAATTATTTAACACTGGCTGGCATGAGGTCATGGGACAGACCCAGGTGCCATGGGTTGATTGACTGAGATGGCTGGCCGATGCACCAACTATGCCCCCTACTGTGCCAACTTTATGTGCCTTAGCCACCCGGCGCTCCGCTCGTTGTTGTGAGCATTGCTTCTCTGCTCTCCGTTGTTGCTGGAGGGCGACTGCCTCCATCTGTCCAGTAGCGTCCTTCACAAGCCTCCTCCACAGAGGCCGATCCTGATGGCTGGCCGATGCACCAACTATGCCCCCTACTGTGCCAACTTTATGTGCCTTAGCCACCCGGCGCTCCGCTCGTTGTTGTGAGCATTGCTTCTCTGCTCTCCGTTGTTGCTGGAGGGCGACTGCCTCCATCTGTCCAGTAGCGTCCTTCACAAGCCTCCTCCACAGAGGCCGATCCTGACACCGCTGGTACCAGTTATCAGCAAGTCCACTCAACTCAACATCCTCTTGTACTGCTCCATCTCTTTTCGAGCTTATGCCACGCCCGTTTAGCCCCCTCTATCCGACCAAACAGAAGCTGCTTGGACATGTGGTGGCTGGGCATGCGGGCTAGATGACCCAGCCAACAGAGCCTGGCCTGCTAGAGGAGCTCACCGATGGGACTTTGTCCAGATCTTTCAAGGATTTGTGAGTTCCTCACACAATCCAGCTTGGTTAAACCCAGGATGGATCGTAGGCAGGCCAGCCTAAATGTGTTTAAGGGGCCATCCATTTGGTACGAATGTACGGAGGGGGGAGTTAACCCAAATGCATACGCATGCGTATGGGGGGTCTACTACTCGATAATAATGCAGCTGGTGGTGGACTGTTGCTTAAACACGTTTATATTATTAAGCCTTTATCGTTTCTACATGGATTGCATATCGGCCGTTCAATAGGATTCGGAGGGGGGAGGGGGGATGCGTCAAGCGTACGTACGCAGGTGGGGGGGGGGGGGTGTAAAAAGTACGCGTGCGTACAGGGAGCGGTCAAGTTTTTACAGATTTTTGCATACGTACTAAATGCATGGCCCCTAACCGGCGAAAATATTCCATTAGGGGGGTCCACGTTACGCAAGCGTGAGAAGGAAGAGCATGACCATGGCCGAGAAGTCCTGAAGCTTCGTGTGGAGCAACAGACCAGATAGCTTCCAAATAGCCGATGAAGAGATAATGCCACTTGGCTGATTCGGAGTGAGACCTATGTTGTCAATCCCGATCCGGTCATGAGCACACTGCCCAGGTATGGAAAACTCTCCACTCTCTCCACAACTGCCCCATCACCATCTGAGAGTTTTGGGGGTGGATTGCTGAATGGCACAAAATACCCAGGCAGGTGCTTAGTTTTGGTGGGGCTGATGATAAATAAGGCTCCGGCTCTTTTAGTGGCCCGCTCCACGTTCAGCAGCAGCGCCTCCAACTCCTCCTCTGAGTGAGAAGCAATCATCAAATCTTCGGCATACATAACATACATACAGTCTCATACATTTGTAGTGACATACTGTCACGAAACTGTAGCGCCGGGTACTGGAGGGACACATGACCCGGGGGCTGAGAGCCCTGCCTTCATACAGTAGGGGGCGGGGCCCAGGACGTGGCAAAGCCACGGCCAGGGAGATAAAGGGGAAGCCCCGACAGGGATCGGGTTCCGTTGTGGGGATCGGCCTGGAGTCCCACGTCTCTTCGTCTTCGCTCGTCGCTCCTCGTTTGTCGGTTGAGTGTAGCCTGACATCGTGGGTCAGACAGTGTGTGCTGGCTGGCCCGTTCACTCCACTAACGCGCACTGCACATAGCGAACAGATAGACAGCTAGCCATAGAACCCGAGTTGTCAGGGTTGTGTTTATGAAAAGTATTGCTTCCAATTACAGTGTGATACTTCGTGTATAACACACTACACATACATACAAACACACTCATACAGATACTCATACAGACACACTTTCATGGCTACACACTATATACATAGACACATTCAAACAGACACTCTGATTCAGAGGGCTGCTTCAGCACAGTTGAGGACAGGCACATTGCCACGTCTGTCCTCAACTGACTACAATCGTTAATTAAACTCGCTCGCTTGCACAACATCGGCAATTGTTACGGCTACAGAGAGGGGGGCGCTGCATACGACTAGGCGGCGAGCGGCGTTCCATGATTTGTATGGATATCACGTGTTGGGTTGGGTGCGATGTTCACTGTATGAGTGTCGTGTAGGATAGAGATATGGGACCTTCGTGTGCACGTGTCGTTACGCGTTCACTGTGTATGTGTAAGAGTGTGTAGGTGTGTAAGAGTGTGTAGGTGTGTTTGTGTGCATGTGCGCTGCGCTTTGAACCCGGCAACCCGGGTTCAATTCACGGTCATCTGTGTGCCATGCCGACCTTCATAAGTGCTCGCTAACAGCACTTGCTCCTACAGTCTGTGAAGGCTATACGGGAGATATTTTATTTGTATACGACAGGGGGTGTGTGAGTGTGTGGATACTGTCCACATCATTGCGTGTTGGAGACGAGATGGACTGATGCGGTACAGGAGGATGTGGAGCTGAGTGGATTTGTCGATGACCGGAACCTGCGGTGTCAAGATCGGCCTCTGTGGCGGAGGAGGCTCGTTCAGGACTTTCCTGAGGCAGTTGGAGGCAGTCGCCCTCCGGCAACAACGAAGAGCGACGCTCACAACAACGCGCGGGCGGATAAAACGCAGCGAGGTGGCACAGTAGGGGGCACAGGTGGTGCATCTGCCAGTCATCTCAGTCAGTGAACCCATAACACCTGGGTCTGTTCCGCGTAGTCCTGCCAGCGAGCCTTCGACACTGCACGTGGCCTCAGGGTGCACCTAGCCTGGCACAAGCGCCGTGGTGACGTCACAGCCACCGGCTATTGTGGTTGGACACGTTTGCTATGCAAGTGCCAACTGGCACCTGGACACCCTCATAGAGGAGATGAAAGTGTCATCATCATTTTAAAAAATCAGCCCCGCAAACCAGAACCTTGACACAAATCTCGGCCGAGCCGCGACCTGAACTTGGTCTGGATCCAAATCTGAGCCTAAATGACCTGGACCCGGACTCGAACCCGGTTTAGGTGTCGGTCAAAGTTCCTACAACTTACAATTATAAAGCCACGTACCCTACGACTTCAGACATCCGCGGAAGCTCGTGTTCTTGACGAATTCAACACCAATTCCGCCGCTCTACACGGCGACACTCAAGCATTCTCCGACTATACCTGGCACTACAGAATATTAAACTAAAGATTCCAGAACCTGACCTCCGCCACGGCAGCAAATATCCGCCAGCCCCAACTCAGTAGCTTCCGCGGATTTCCGTCCATCACCGCCGCTTCTCCCACTCACTCGCCGCCACCCTCCCCCGTCCGCCTTACCGAGCGCAGCCGCGGCGGCGGCGGCGGGATCGGCGCCCGTCACCACGGGCAGCAGCGTGGCCGGGGCCGAGAGACTGAGCTCGGGCGCGGAGGAGAGGAGCAGATTCTGTCCCGGGTACGAGCGGCGCTCCCTCTTCCCGCCGCCGTCGGCCATCGCCGGCTCCGTGGTGTCACCGTCTGAGCCCCGCCCCCCTGCCCGCCACTGCCGCGTCACCTCTTGACCTCACCGCGCCGCCATGTTGGGAAGGGAGCCATTGGCGTTGCGTCGGCGCGGGACGTCACCGGCCATGCGACGCGGTGGGGGGGGTGAGCGTTGAAGTGGGGCGCGTGAGTTCCCCGACCCCTCTTGCAACATGGCCGCCCAGGTTTGACGTGCTGATGACGTCGGGCGCGACGTTGCGAGGTTCAGGGCGTGTGACACGTCGCGCGGTGACGAAATTTTTTCAGTCACGTGCTTCGGTCGGGCTGCCACGTGGCGTCGGCGTCGAAGTTACAGTCGGACCCTGATGGCGTCGCCAATGCGTTACTTTCGTTTTTAAACAGTTGCCGAGTACAGGATCAGCACGTCAAGCGGTCAGCAACAAACAGCACTACTATCAAAATTGTAAAGATTATGACAGCTTGGGAAAAATGAGACGATGGGAGGGAATTCCAAACTGGAGCAGTGCGAGTGAGAAAGCAGAAAGTGGCGAGATGTTAACTACCTCGCCTGGCATACAGGAGGTCGTGCGTTTCGATTTAGACCTTCAAGCCTGTATATTTGGAGTTTGCATGTTCTCCCCGTGGTCGTGTAGTTTTTTTTTCTACGGGGTCTCCCGGTTTCTCCCTCCACATTTAGAAATATACGTTTAGAGTATGTAGCTGCTATAAATGTCCACATGATCAGAAGCCACTTCGTTGAGCAATCATTTGTGGCCAGGTCGCTTCTGAAAAAGAGATCTACAATATTGCCTCGTTATTCACGAACTTGCTATCCGCAAATCACATTTGGCACTACACGATTGCATAAAGAGAAAGTGATGGGATAAAATGATGAATGTGATGAAGAGAGAAAGTTATGACATTAAGCAATGAAAGTTTTTTTTAAGTGATGCGCATCATCACAATTTAAATTAAGTTCATTTATAAACTTTTATTTAACACTTCAATATGCATTTTATTTACTTTGTTTATTATAATAAATGTTTAGTTGATAGTTTTCATGTATTTAATATCTTTAAGATCATTAAAAAGGCATACTATCAGCGAAATTTACTATTCACGAGCATTATACTGTAGCCCAATGGGCCTTACCTGGTAAAATAAAAAAAGTTAAGTGTTCTGACCTGCAATGCAGTGAATTAACACATCACGGATGAGCTCAAATAGTCTTGTAGATTGCGTGTTCAACATGTGAAGGAATCAACGAGTGACGTTCACAGGAACAGCATGGCAGTAGTGTGGGATTTTAGTTTTATCAACATGGTGTGCGTCACGTCGCATCCAAAATAACAGCCGTCCTCGCGTTCTCACATGCGCACGCGGTAGCGTAACATAAGCAGTTGGAAAACGCCTGGGGAATAAGGCATCGTACGAATGGGGATCTAGGAGGCGCAATAGTGGAGGAAGGTCCTGTTGACTTTGCCCACGTGTAGACATCAAAGCCACAGGTGATTCCTGTCAGCCATCTTGACCGCATGGCTGGGACGGCAAGTGAAGCCTCTGGGCTGCGTTTGCAGGCGTGGGCAAGAGCATTGCGGTGCTTAAGGGATAGAACCACGCTGCGTTGTGCGTAGTGACCATGCTGTGCAAAGAGGAATCCTCACTGCATGGTGAGAAAACACCGGAAGGATTGTTTTGGTTAAATGTGTTGCATCGTCGTGGGAACATCGTGGTACACGTTGGGAAAACCATGTTGCGGCCCCGACATTAGTTTTACTTCACAGGCTTGTGCGATCCCATCAGGACACGTGGTGTTGCGTCCCAAGAGCACGTGGTTCCAGTGGAGTGTGAGCGTCACAGGCACCACATGTGTGTGTCGTGCAGGAGGACGGAGTGTGGTTGTGAGACCCTGGTTTGACGGTGTGTGCAGTGTGCCGTGGCGAGCCAAATCGAGCGTCTCCAAGTGCATAGATTATGCCGGTGACCACTCCGTTGGGGTTTCCATATATTAGTCTCGCCCCCCCCCCCCCCCGAGTTGAGCAAAACAGTGGTTCCTCTATGAACGATATTAAAACCATCGGTTGAAATGATCGTTAATTGAATATAGAAAATACATGTTAAAGGTTGATTTAAAGCTTTCGTGACTGCAGGAATTCATATTCTTTGGGTCTTTCGGTAAAGCCACGTAGATAGAATAAAAATAAATAATCACAATATCAGCGTTTCGATCACAACACAAGCAATCGTCATCAGGTGAGAGCTGCTGAAGCAGGAAAAAATATATGGCGGGAGCACTGCTAAGGCAGGGAGTTATAAAGGTTGAGATGGGTGTAGTCCAATGGTCAGTGGGCGGGGCTAGAGATGAAATTTGCATGTAAATGTAAGGAGAAATCTTGACAAACGAAGCTGTGGGGGTGGCCATTGTGTAGTAGCATGGTTGGGCACTGTACATTTCCCATTCATCCTTACCTGTAGTAGCAAAAACGTGTCAATAGGGGGTGGTACACTGAATGGGTAAGATGAGTCGGACCGTTGGGCCAATAGGGCTCCCCAGACCCCAAGAGATGCTGTGGGGATATTCCAGAGCCCCCTAGAGTTCCAGAAGGAAGGTGTGGCTATGGGCAGAGAGACCCTAGAACGGGCATAAAAGCCGGACCTCTGGATGGGTCCAGCAGTCATCGTCAAGCTGAAGACTGAAGACCCGCTTAGGCTAGGACCCTGAGAACCCCCGCACCCGGCATCCTTCTAAGGGCCGGGACTGAGTGGGCCAGTGGTCGGGACCCGAGGACCTTGGCTGGGTCGGGTCAGCTAGCCTCCCCTAGGACCCCTTAGCCGGAGGGCTGAGAGTGCGTAGCCCTAGTGATAGGGCATGCTAGCCTCCCCGAGGACCCCTTTAGCCAGAGGGCTGAGAGTACGTAGTTCCAGTTGATCGGACACGCTAGCCCGGAGGCTATACCTCCCCAGATATCGGGTGGAGGGGCCGCTACCCCTTCATGTTAGGGATCGTTACTGTTATTATTGTAATAAACGAGTTGCCTCTACGAACCGTCTCTACTCTCCTTGGACCCACTACAATTGTATTGTGAGAGATTAGCATGTCAATGTAAGAAATTTGCTTGTAAATGTAAGCTAGAGAGAGCTCGGAAAAGAACATCGCCACATGGAGGTAGAAATGGATGGCAAGCCACCATTTACTAACACAGCTAACGGTGGCTGTTAGTGAATGTAGCTCAGAGTCGAAAATAACTAACACAGGTAGGAAGGGAATATCACAGCCAGTTAATAATGTCATTCCAGTGATTGCTCAGTTTGTACCCATCTTCTCGGTTGAAATTGTGTCTATATATATCTGGATGGCTTGATGAACAAATCTTTGCCGATAGAGTACCTTCGTCTTGGCAAATTTAATTTCATGTGTCCACAGCGTTAAAATAATGATCAGCTACGGCTGAGGTATTGGTCCTACCGTGTTTTAGATCTGCCTTATGTTCACGAACCCGGTCCGAGACATGTCACTTAGTTTCCCCAATGTAACTGCTGCCTGCAGACAGCTTATTTTGTAGACACCGGGGTATTGCATGTCAGGGATCACATCCTTCACAGATGGGATCAAATCACAAATTTTATGTACCGTGTTGAATCATACCTGGATCTTGTGTTTGCTCATGATTTTGGAAATATTTTTGGTGACCCCTGCTATGTAAGGCAAGGTGATGGTTTTGATTGGATCTTCAGATGGTTCTTTCCCAATGGTTGGGGTGATAGCTTACGGATTGTGTAGTCTGAAGTCTGAATATCCATTCTTCTTGAGGGCTTGGTGTACGTGCTCCAGTTCTCTGGCTAAGTGGTGATGGTCGGAAATACGAGCTCTATGGTATAGAGTGTTGATGAGGGAATTCTTCTGGGATGGATGGTGGTGGGAGTCAGGTTTTAGGTAATCATCCGTATGGGTGGTTTACAGGAAAGCCACCCATACGGATGCCTAACACAGCCACTGTTAGCTGTTAGTAAATGGCGGCTTGCCACCCATTTCTACCTCCATGTGGCGATGTTTCTTTCTGAGCTCTCTCTAGCTTACATTTACAAGCAAATTTCTTACATTGACATGCTAATCTCTCACCATACAATGGCCACCCCCACAGCTTCGTTTATCAAGATTTCTATCTTACATTTAGATGCAAATTTCATCTATAGCCCCGCCCACTGATCCTTGGGCTACACCCATCTCAAACCTTTAGAACTCCCTGCCTTAGCAGTGCTTCCTGCTTCAGCCGTTCTCACCTGATAACTATTGCTTGTGTTGCGATCGAAACGTCGTGATATTGTGATTATTTTTATTCTATCTACGTGGCTTTACCGAAAGACCCAAAGAATACATGTTAAAGGCTTAATTTGTTCGAAAACTATCGGAAGTTGACCTTTTTCACCCTAAAAACAGGTTCTAATATTTAAACAATTTTAATTAAATAAACGTTATAAAACATATTAATCCATTAATATTAATAGAAATGTGGATGCATAATATAGCATAAAAATACATAAAAGGCATGAAATAAAAATTATTACTTTAGGCTAAGAGGATGGATGGTTTAAAGGGTTGGAGAAGCTGGGGTGAGAGAAATTTTCCTGCTTAATTTGCACACTAATAATTATTTTCCTCACTTTGTCTTCACATTAATTTTAGGGGCGATTGTTATTGATCATAACTTTTAAGTAAAAAAACACTTAAGTATTCACGAAAGCTGTTTTCATAAGCAACACACATGAAACATTGAAAAGCTAGCAGCTAGTTGCTCTCAAAACGCTCATAAAAGGGCGTCGCTGATTGAGGCCTGCTAAGTCCACTTAGGAGTGCTCCAATTGCCCGAAATTGGCAACCGCATATCGTAAAACATCGTTAATATAAAATGTGTCTTGAATATAAACAAGGGGATCCTATAGGAGGCGGATCATTAATCGAAAAATCGTTAATGATGGCATCGTAAACCGAGGGACCACTGTTATTGCCAACGACGAGGCGCGAATATCGCCGAGGTAGAGCGAGGCAAAGTTTTGACTCCCACATCCTGACCACCCCATCTTCCCCTGCTCGCATTCGCTCCCAAGATGCGTGACAGACCATTGTGTACCAACGCCATGATCCGCATTTGCCGCATTCTAAATATTACCCACAAATTACTGACGAATTGGGAATACACATAGCAATCGTCACTCCCTACTGGCAGACTAACGGCCCCCGGCTGCCGAGTTATCTTGTGCTACACAGGGACAATTGCCACTTGGGGTGGGCCTTTTAAAAATGCGTTTGAGATGTGATACAGGTCGACTATCATATGCAAAGTGCTCTGTATGTATGCACGTTTAACTTATTTCGCCACTGTACACAGCCAACCGTGCTAATCGGAGGTGCGGGGGGAAGGATATGGGATATGGCTCGAAGAAACGAGGGTCTTAAGGAGGTCGTTCTATCAAAACAAGTCATTATGACGAAGGTAGAGTATTATATTACAACACGGTGATACACAAAGCTGCGCGATATGAAGTTCTTTTATTTTGGCAATTTCTGGCTTTTCCTATAAAAAAGTGCACGGACACGCAGATAGGAGGCGAGACCACCTCCCTCCGTGGCACTTCCACTAACACGGCACGACGAAGAGGAGGAGGAAAAACACTAGCAGCAAAGGGGTGGCTCAGTCCACAGGGCGGCAAGCTCATCACCAGATCAATGGTTCGTCAGGGCCAGATTAAGTTGAACCGATGTTATATAATTTTTCGGGACCCAGAACCATAAGTTTGTGATTAAATCGGGTTGTAAATCAAACCACAGGAACCCGATTAATCAAGTTGTGATTAAAATTGGTTCATCACATGCAGCGAGTTGATTTTGCTCAGCCAGGTCACCAATGTGTGTACTTAAAAAAAAACATCAATTAAACTCAGTTTTGCACCTTCATCCTGTCTAAAACCCAGCCCTGAAAATATCGGTTTTAAAACCGTGCGACAAACATAAGTGCTTCCCCCATAATGCGTGGACCACAGCTGATTTGCAGGGACCGTAGCGCGATAACATCCGATCTCCACTGGCTGCTCTCTAACACAAAGGGTCACACCGTTCTGTCGAGACTCCCCGAGTGATTCTTGGTCTCGCGACGACAACACGGATAGCACTCTCGGGACAGATGTGGAAGGGGAGGAAAAAACAGACTTTTTTTTTAACTAACTGGTCCCTGCCACGGGAATGTGAAAATTGCCTCCAACGATGGAGATGAGCAGAGCCACTACCCAATGTGAAAGAGCGGGGGAGGGGGACACCGACTATACACGACCACAATACAAAAAAACAACAGTGGCAGCGGTTATGCTAGTAAAACGCAAGCACAAAATGGTAGCACACATTACTTGTCACTCATCCTTGCCTTCCTTTCCCTCACAGCAGGGGTCAGAGGGGATCCTCTGACCCCTGCTGTGAGGATCCTGGTAAAAGCCCTGAAGCCACTGGACCCCCATGGAGGGGGTTGGGGGGGTAGTGGTTTGGTCCCGGGCGTCTTTATGGTACCTATAGCTTGGAGCTATCGCAGTGACCCGGCTTTCAGTTAAAAAGCCACTCATACCTGAAACAATACAGTTTATAAACGCCGATGTGAATCACTGCTCACAAACCATGACACACCGATGGATACAAGCCCCGATGTTTATTTCTGCCTGTAAACCATGACCCTCATAAAATACTGCCCTAGCCTACACCCTGACCCTAGCTAGCCCTGATTATAAGCCTTGACCCAAACTCTGACCAGTCGTGACCCTAAACCTAGCCTCATAATAAACGCAGATTCTTAACCCAGACTCTAGCCCCGACCCTAACCCTGATTTTAAACCCACGACTAAACCTGACCATAAACCAAGAGCCTAACCAAAATCTATCGTGATGTGAACTTGAAAAATGTGGTCTGCGTATTCACTGCATCACGTCCTTATTTTCAACTGGCGCCAAGCTATTGGGAAGCTCACCGCGTATCCCCCGCCCCCCCCACCAGCACCGCGCACTGTCACACACGTTCAGTCAGGCAAAGTGCAGAGTAAAATAATCATGTCATTAAATTAATAACCAAACGACGCAAGTGCACTCGGTAAGATCATCGTTAAGACGTCCAGTGAACCAAGTAGATCATGTAAACCACTACGCAATGACGGGAGGACTGTGAAACTAGGACGGGAGGAAGGGTTACATCTAATTTAGAAACCACCCATCTGTAAGCGAGTAAGAACGCAACAGCGGGGAAACTCGGAACCGGTGCCAAACCTGTGTCACCATGTGTACCCGCGTATCCCTTTGTGTTCAATTCTCCATGTGTGCCCGCGTGTCATCGTATGTCCTCGTGTGTCCAAACGTGTCCCAGTGTGTCCACGCAAGTCCCGGTGTGGCCCTGTGTATCCCCATGTGTTGACGTGTGTTCCCGTATATCCCCGTGTATCCCTTCATGTTTACGTCTCCATGTGTGTCCGCATGTCATCGTGTGTCCCGGTTTTGGTGACGGTGATGGCACCGTCATGCTGCGTCCTGGTTAGCAAGTTGAATGGTGACCTTCTTCCGGATTGGCGCCTTGCCTCTCTTCGCCTGGGTCTGTGTGGTGATTCGGAGAGCAGAGAGGGGTGGGGGGGTGGGGCAGAGACAGAGATGATAAAGCAGTGGGCATGATGGCACGTAGTGGTGGTGTTGACGATAGTCGGGGTGGTGGTGATTTTGATGTTGATGATGTTGATGGTGATTATGGTGATATCATCACCTCGCTCCGGGCTGGTTTCCCTGATGGAGGCCGTGCTACCTTGGAGGCCGGGGCAGTCTTAGGCTTGGGGGGAGGGGGAGCCTCTTCATCCGATTGGTCCATCGTCTTGGGGTCAAAGGGCTCCAATTTGGGATGCGGGCCTGAGAGAAATGCACAAAATCCCCCCGTCAAGTGCTGTTAGCGAGTAGCACCTAGGAAGGTCGGCATGGCACACGAGGGGGCGGGTGGCCAGGACTACGCCCGGCCGTCTTTATATCCCTAGTGGTGATGTTTACACATCGTACCAGGTACTCATTTGAGGCCGAGTTGACCTAGGGGAAGCCCAGGACCGATTCAGATAATAATTGTTACTGGTGTTGGCCGTGAGCGGAAATCCAACTTGGGTCGTGGGGTTCGTAGTGCAGCACGCAAACCGTGACACTACCACTCCCCACAATGTGGGTCTGAGACAAATGCACACATACACACGCACACACGTAAACACAACAACAACAGCCACCATTCGCCACTTATTGGCAGTGATGTCACCACAGCGCGTGTGCCAGGCTAGGTCCACTTTGAGGCCACATGAAGTCTTCTTGGTTCTTTCGGTAAAGTCACGTAGAAGGAAAGTAATAAAATAATAAAAATAAAACATAAAATAATTCTCACGACGTTTCGGCCACAACGCAAGCATCCGTCCTCAGGTGAAAACCAGGTCTGTCGAAGCGAATTATTTTATTATGTTTTATTTTTATTATTTTATTACTTCCCTTCTACATGACTTTACCGAAAGAACCAAGAAGATGAATCCCTGCAGTCACGAAAGCTTTAAATCGAAAGCCACATGAAGTGTCGGAGGCTCACTGATATGCGGTCACGAGACCCACATGCTGCGAGTTAAACGACTCCCCTTGGTAAAATTGGCTTTGAATCAGTACCTAGTATGGTAGGTGCACTGGGGATACAAATGATTCCGGGCGTAGTGCTGGTCACACTACCCCCTTGTGTGCCATGCCAGCCTGCAGAGGTGCTCGCTAACAACACTTGCCCCCTAACAGCTTGTTAAAAGCTATAGGGGGGGATCCTTGTCTCTGTGTTGTTGTATACGTGCATGTGTACATACATGTGTGTATGTTATGTATGTTGTGTACGTGCGTATATGTTGTATACATACATGTGTACGTGTGTGTATGTATGTTGTGTACGTGCATGGGTAGGGGTGTGTGTGTGTGCATACCAGGCCCCCACGTGACACCATCCCCCACCCCTCCCAGTGCAATGTCCTGCATGCTGAAGCTGCGCAGGCGATCAGAGAGGGCTCCCTGACCCTGCACACACACACACACAAGACAAAGATCCCCATATAGCCTTAGCAGACTGTTGGGGCAAGTGTTGTTAGTGACAACTTTTGAAGGCTGGGATGGCACACGAGGGGGTGCGTGGCCAGCACCACGCCCGGCTGCCTTTGTTTTGCCATTGGCGATGTTTACACACCATATCAGAAACTCATTTGAGGCTGAGTCGACCTAAGGGCCAGTTCAGATAATCATCACTGGTGTTGGCCATGAGCGGGAATCGAACTCGGGTCGCCGGGTTCATAGCGCAGCGTGCTAACCGCTACACTACCATTCCCCACACACACAATAACAAGAACCACCATTCACCACTTAGTAGTGGTGACGTCACCACGACGATTGTACAGGCTATGTGCACGTTAAGTCCACTTCAAGTGTTGAACGCCCGCTGGCAGAAGGTCACGAGACAGACCCAGGTGCCATGGGTTGACTAAGGTGACTGGCTGATGCACCACCTGTGCCCCCGACTGTGCCAACTTGCTGTGCTTGTTGTTGTGAGCATCGCTGCTCTGCCCTCCGTTGTTGCTGGAGGCCGACTGCCTCCAACTGCCCAGTAGCATCCTTCACGAGCCTCCACAGAGGCCGATCTTCACACTGATGGTATCAGTCATCGGCAAGTCCACTCAGCTCCACATCCTCTTGTACCACATCACTCAATCTCTTCTGTAGCCCTTGCCATGCCCATTTAGCGCCCTCTATCTGGCCAAACAAAAGCTATTTAGGCATGCGGTGGCTGGGCATGTGGGCTACATGACCTAGCCAATGCAGCCTTGCCTGCTGGAAGAACTCACTGATGGGATTTTATTCAGATTTTTAAGGATTTGAGAGCTCACACAATCCAGCCTGGTTAAACCCAGGATGGATCGTAGGCAGGCCAGCATTTTCCTAACTCATGAAGATGTTCCATTAGGGGGGTCCACGTTTTGCAAACATAGAGAAGGGGGTCATGATTGTGGCCAAGAAGACGTGAAGCTCATGTAGAGCGACAGACTAGGTAGCTTGCACACATCATTACGCAGCCGATGAAAAGATAATGCCGCTCGGCTGATTCGGAGTGAGACCTCTTGTCAAACTGGAGCCAGTCATGAGCACACTGCTCAGGTCTAGAAAAGTCTCTACTCTTTCCACAATTGCTCCATCACCAATTGGGAGTTGTTGGGGTGGAGTGGTTGGTGGCACAAAGTACCCAGGCAGGTGCTTAGTTTTGGTGGGGCTGATGTTAAGTGGCATGCTCCAGGATCAGCAGTAGCGCCTCCAACTCCTCCTCTGAGTGAGCAGCAATCACCAGATCATCAGCATACATAACATGGTTGACCAATAGGGAGCCATCCCTTGACTGCACCCCAGCATCAATCAGTCTCCCATTGTATCTGTACCAGATGGAAATTCCTCCAGTACAGCCATCGAAGGCTTCACGAACTACTTGGTCGAAATAAGATGGTAAATAATGTGGGAGCCAGAGGACATCCCTGTTGCACGCCAAGGTGAACAGGAAATGGCTCCAACTTCCGACCACGTAGTTTTACCTGGGCCTTCCCACCATCATGAAGGTCCTTAATGATTATGGTCCAGACTGTTATGATGTAATATAGGATAGTCTGCACACAAACACCACACTTCCAGCATTTCACTTGGGAGATCATCTCTGTCCAGCACTTTTCTTGGTCTAAGACTGGATCACCTTCTGTATTTCCTCAACAGATGGCACTTCAGCCAGCCATTCACACGGGGTGACTACTTCTTCCAATATTTGACATACCACAGCCTCAGCAGAGTCATCCCCAGTTTGCCCCATGATGTTTTCCAGGCTGAGGTATTTCCCCTCCCCCAATACCTCACAATAACGCTCAGAAAATCTGCAAATCTTTCCCCTAATGATGGTGATAGGTGTGGCACTGCAAGTTCCTTTTTTGATGGAGTTACAGAGATCTGTGATCATGGGCTACCGAGGCAGACTTCATCTCCTCAGCAACCCACGGCCACCACCCATCCTTGCAGCATCGCATGGCTCTTCAAACCTTTGAGTGAAGGCTACGGTAAACCTCATTCTCTGACATGGGATGCTGTAGACAGTGGGAGTGAGCCTGCTGCTTTTTCTCAGCCAGCCAGAACACCTCTCAACCAGGGTCTCTGGGGAGGTTTGGGCAAAGAAGTCCAGCAGCCTCCTTCCATTGTTATTGAGCTGATCTGGTCCATGCCTTCCAATCACTCCAGCCCAGGTGCCAGCATCATGGCCCACTTGGGCATTAAAGTCACGCAACAGGATGACTATCCCAAGTGGCCACTTTACCTAGCACCTGTAACAGGTCATAGAAGGCATCTGACTCCTCAGCCTTGCCTGCGCATCCCTCTACTGATGTTCATCTTCGTTGTGGGCATAAGTAACAAACACTACCACTCCTTCTCTCTGGTTGATGGGAAGGCGAGCCCACAGTAGTATGGGGCTTACAGCTTCCCACACCTCACCACCACGCTCCCACACCCCCTTCATTCTTTTGTTTAGAAGAGCCACTCCCTGTTTGGCAGTCTCCTGCCCTCAGTAGAGAACTGTGCACCGCTTATGGTGGGTGGAGCCAGAGCCAGTCCACCGGAACTCCTGAATGCCGCAGAGATCCAGAATGTACTGGTCCAGCTCCCGACAGAGGAGTGGCAGCCTCTCCTCCGCATTGAGCGTTCAAACATTCCACTTGGCCACCCGCAATGGCTTTTTGCTGTTTCTGGAAGAACCCCGAGGGTAAGGATTCAGTCTCCTGGCTCTGCCAAAAGGGGTTTGGCCAGGAGACGTCATAGACACCTGTCCCCCTGGGACCTCGGGCACAGGCTTAGTTAGATTTTTTCCACGTGGTTTAGTGGTACTTGAGTTTAATGTGGAGGGGTTACCAGCCCCTCGCACCCGTGGCTACAAACGCCATGAGGGGAATGGCCAATTGAAATTGGTCCTCCCTGCCATGGTGCTGCTCACCACAGTAATACCGTCCGGCACCACCAAGGAGGTATGGGGTTGTTTTGCCAGACAGACACAAGTACACACACACACACAATGCCTCCCCATGTCTAACAGAGTATTCTGTGGTGCACATCTCAGTGTTTCCCCCCATGTCCCCTGTGTCTTCTCGTGTCTCTCCAATGCCCCCACGCCTCCCAGTGACTTCCTGCATCTCCCCATGTCTCTGTCTCCCCATCTCTCCCCAAATCTCCGTGTCTCTACGTATCTCTCCATCACTCCCTACGTCTCCCCATGCCTCCATGCATCTCTATAGTCTCATCTCTTCCCGTGTCTCCCCATCTTTCCCCGCATCTCCCCATCTCTCCCCGCGTCTCCCCATCTCTATCTCTTCCAATGTCTCCCCATCTCTCCCCGCGTTTCGCCGCACCTTGGCAGCGGCGGTGGCCGCAGCGGTAGCGGCGAGGTTGAGTCCACGCCGCCCAAAATACTTCACAGTCTCGTAGCCGCGCTCCTTCGCCTGCTGGATGTAGCCATCTATCTCCTGGGAGCACGGGGTGGGGGACAGGGGCGCGGGGTGGTAACCGGAGGTGAGATTATAAACACAGCTTGGGGGGCAGCGTGTGGCATTGTGCACTGGGCATGTGGGGGTGGGGAGCTGGGTACCCGCGCATCCCCTGGGAGTACGGCGGGTTGGGGTGTAGGGCGAGGCGTACGGAAGAGGGATTATAAACATGCAGGCGGGGAGCTGCTGCTGTGTGGGGTCGCGACAACCTGGGAACGCCAGCACAAGGGACATCCACTGGAGAGGGGTATACGATCAGTGCCAGAAGCAGTAGAAACCTCACAAAGCCAGGCTCAAGTTAGCCAGAATTCGGAAGAATACTGAAATGTAAAAGAAGACTTGCTTTACGAATACACCAAAAACTAATTTTATACGTGGGCTTTCACAACCGATATGATTCGCTAGAGTGCAGCCCGTCCGACAGATGGGGTCATCTTCCTCATCTACTCTCAAATATTCTTCTCCTACGGACTGCTCCACCATTGGCTCCACACCTACTCTTTTGGCAACTCTCAACACTCACCAGGCACCTTTCACTACTCACCACCTTGCACTTTCACCAGATAATCACCAGACACCCACCTGACCCTCACCAGACACACCTAATACCTTACCACTTGGTAGAAACTCACCAGGACACTATTCTGACACCAGACACTACTCCCCTGAATATCAGCAGACATCCCCCACCGCTCACCTTCACTAGCCACCAGCCTCATCGTTCACACACTCGCCAGAACAAGTGAAGAAACACTTACCACGCCCACACAAATTACAAATCAAGAAGGGCAATGCCACGGTCATCATGGAAAAACCGTGTACAACCACAAAATTCAGGAAACTACTTAATGATGGAAGCTACACAAAAATAAAAAGAGATCCCACCAACAGCCTCGTTACAAAAACGAACAGTATCACCGATTCAGCTTCATTAATTGAACAGAACAAATGGTTTTCCTTAAAACCTTCTGCTGCTAGACCACGCAGATTATATGGCTTACCAAAAATCCATAAAGAAGGTACACCCCTTCATCCCATCGTCTCTACCATTGGCTCACCCACCTACAAACTGTCTGAGACCTTACAGCCATTCACTGGTAAGACCACCTGTTCTGTACTTAACTCAGCTCACCTGGAATCATCAGTTAAGGACATCTCACTGTCCCCAGGTGATTTGCTCGTTAGTTTCGATGTTGTTTCTTTGTTCACCAAAGTCCCTGTGCCCGATACCATTGCAATCATTGAAGATTTGGTCCAAAAAGGATTGAATGCTGATGTACCGGCCTTGGTGAGACACTGCCTCACCAATACATACTTTACCTGGAATGGAACATTCTACAAACAAACTCAAGGCACCCCAATGGGTTCTCCCTTATCTCCAGTTGCAGCCAATGTTTTCATGGACATATTTGAGACAGATGCCATCTAGGCATCCACTCTATACCAGTCCTTGAGGAAGAGGTACGTGGATGACACGTTTGTCATCTGGCCACATGGCCTACCGGCTCTGAACCAATTCCTCAACCACATCAATTCCATACACCCAGCCATCAAATTCACCATGGAGTGTAGAAAAGGATCGCAAGCTACCTTTCTTGGCTGTCTTAATCAAAGAGACCAGATGGCTCAATGAGCCACTCTGTCTACAGGAAAGCAACCCATACTGATGCCTACCTAAAACCTGACTCCCACCACCATCCATCCCAGAAGAATTCCCTCATCAAAACTCTACACCATAGAGCTCAATGTATCTCCGACCATAAACACCTAACCAGCAAACTCAAACACGTACACCAAGCTCTCAAGGCGAATGGATACTCTGACTACACAATCCGCAAAGCCATCACCCCAACTGGGAGGAAGGCGCCATCTGAGGGTCCAATCAAAACCATGACCTTGCCATACATAGCAGGGGTAACCAAAAAGATTTCCAAAATCATGAACAAACAAGATCCAGGTCCGATTCAACACAGTACATAAAATTCGTGATCTGATCCCATCTGTGAAGGACAAGATCCCTGACATGTAATATCCCAGCGTCCACAAACTAAGCTGGATCTGCGGTAGCAGTTATATTGGTGAAACTAAGCGACATGTCTCGGACCGTGTTCGTGAGCATAAGGCAGATTTGAAACACGGTAGGACCAATGCTTCTGCCATGGCTGATCATTCTTTTAATGCGGCTGGTTCACAGGAAATTGATTTCTCTTAGACGATGGTACTTTGCCAGCCCACTGGCTATCAACAAAGATTAGTTCATGAAGCCATCTATATGTAATGGGTTCAATCAGGGCACACACTAGAACTTGGAGGCAACACGTTTTATTAACCAACCCCACATAACTCTGAACGGAATAACAACATAAGGTGATAACCCACAGTTCCTACACTAAGCTATGTACACTGGAGTATGGCTATGTACATTATGGATGGAGCAACTACAAATCTGACCCAGGTCAGCCAACACGCTGTTTGGTCCACGTGCGCGACGCCCGGAGACCCGAAGACCGGCAGACGACGAAGGTTTTTTCCCAGCCAGGACGAACCCCGGTCCCCCCCGGGGCTCGGCTCTTATGCTTACGGCATTGCCAGGCCCTGTCCTTATGTGTTTTGCAGAATTCGGTAATGCTGTGCCCTTGAACGCCACGCTCATTCACGTGCTTCGTGAGAGCTCTCGCTCACCCTCTCTCTTTCTAGTATGTAAATTTACGTAGCAAAAATGTCGATAAACTTGAATTCCCTGAGAAACAGCCTCCCATCTCTTGAGTTGACTGATGTAATATGGTGCGGTGGTAAGGTGGCGACGCAGTGTGGTTGTCATGTGGCGTGGTACGGTAGGGTTGTAAGGTGTGGTGCGGTGTAGTATGGTGATGCAGCGTGGTAATCTTTGGTGTTGTGTATGTGGTGTGATGGTATAGCAGCGCAGTGTGTTGTTTTGTATGTGTAGAGATTGTATCACTACCAACGATACTTACCTGATGTGGTTGACACCGCATGACATGGATAACCAGGAAGTAAAAACAAGTCCTCAGATTGGTACTTAGCAGGCTTGAAATGGGATTGGTTAGAGGCAGGGAAATTGAAGGAATTGGAGGAGAAATACAAATGGAAAGAGCAGAAAACGGAGGACGATTGACAGGGAGGTCAGATGGGATCCGTTAGAAAAAGTGGAAGGTGAGGGAAAGCAAGGGTGGCACAGTCGGGTTTTTTACAATCGGGTTTAATTGTCTTTTTATATTAAACCCGATCATCTGAGATTGGGAGAAATCCGGTTTAATTGGTTCTAATTTCAGAACCGCACTTCTCAACGATGGGCTTCATCCATTCCAAGCTAAGGAACTCACTGGCACCCACGATTGAGGAGAAGCTCGAGTTCATCAAGACCAACCTGCCCGCCGCATTCTACGACTACCCCGTGCCCGACAGCCCCGAGTACGATAGCAGCATCGACGAGGAAGCAGCCTAAGCCTATCAGAGTTTCGTATTCATTAAACCAGGTTTTAATTCCCCGAAATCGGGTTTAATTGTATTAAAGAAAAAACCCTATGCCTGCCGCTGGAAAAATCGGGTTTTTTCCACCAATGAGGGAAAGTAGGTCAAGGAACCTTCGAGAAACGGGCTTCAGGGATAAAAAGGGGGAGGAAAAGCGAGAGCTCAAGATGCTTGGGGTGAAGGGAATCCTTGAAGACCCGTGTGTCTCATGCTGGAAGGAATAAAGACTCCTATTATTGAAAACTATGGTGTCAGGTGTCACTACATATGTGTCACAGTGCTGCGGTGTGGTACGGCCGGGTTGTACGCTGCAGTGTAGTATGGTTGGGTTGTACACTGCGGTGTGGTAAGGTTAGGTTGTACACTGCTGTATGCCGCAGTGAGGTGTAGCACGGTGATGCGGACACCTTCTCTCGAGAGGCGAGCGCCGGGTGGACAAACTTGCGGTAGAGGAGCGAGGAGCCACGCGTGTATGGCGACAGCAGCCACACCACCATGCCGATTTTACACTCGTGGTAAAACGGCAGCCTGCCCACCACACAACACACACTCCACCACATCACCACTGTACACACGCCACCACCGCCTAAACCAGGCATGGGTTGGGAGACACGGCACACGTAGCCAGGGAGCCCTGGCCTGTGCCTATGCAAGGTCCCAGAATCTTGACACGTGCCTTCATCCATTTACGCACTCGTGCAATTAACAGCGGTAATCCTGTGATGTTTCTGTAACTTTACATTACTGCGAATGCTTTTGAAAAATAACTTTGCTCTCCCGGCCATGGCCAGGCCAGGCGGTGGCATTGTTTCCCATGAGACTCGGATGTCAATGAGAGCCATGTAACAGGAGAACCGGCTGTGGCCGCGCGAGGTGGTAGAGTTTTTTACCATGAGACAAGGATGTCTGTGAACGTCTCCACGGCGAGGAATAACGCAAACACGATCCAGTACATCATCCACTTTACCTGCACACAGGGACAGGGGGACGTGGGGGGCACGGGGACAACACAGAGGCATGGTGACATGATGGGAACACGGAGATATGGGGCCAAGATACATTGCCACAGGGAGATGTGGAGATGCGGGACAGAGACAGAAAGACACAGGGCATGGAGCACATAGACACATGACATGCAGACATGGGAAAACAGTTCAAAAGTCAGATTATGAAGCAGACGGAAGTGATGATAACGGTGGAGGTGGGGACAATGTTCACCCAATTGGTGACGGTGGTGACAGGGAAGATTGTGATGATGGTGATGGGAAAGATGGTGATAGTGGAGATGGGGAAGATGGTTATGATGGTGATGGGGAAGACGGTGATGGTGGTTTATGGTGGTGATGAGGATGGCGATGGGGAAGATAGTGATGATGGTGGTCGTGGTTCATGGGGTGGTGATGGTGGTCGTGATCAGGATGGTGGTGACTGGTGATGATAGTGGTTGTGATGGTGGTTGCGATGGTGGTGGTGATGGTATAACACGGGGAGGTACTCACATACTCACGGACGTTCTTCGTCTTCACGGCCTTGTATGAGGCATACGCGGGATAAAGCGTGCCAAACACCAGCCTACACAACACACACACACAGATCCCGCATATACAGTGAGGGAAAAAAGTATTTGATCCCTTGCTGATTTTGTACGTTTGCCCACTGACAAAGAAATGATCAGTCTATAATTTTAATGGTAGGTTTATTTGAACAGTGAGAGACAGAATAACAACAAAATCCAGAAAAACGCATGTAAAAATTTTTATAAATTGATTTTCATTTTAATGAGGGAAATAAGTATTTGACCCCTCTGCAAAACATGACTTAGTACTTGGTGGCAAAACCCTTGTTCGCATTCACAGAGGTCAGACGTTTCTTGTAGTTGGTCACCAGGTTTGCACACATCTCAGGAGGGATTTTGTCCTACTCCTCTTTGCAGATCTTCTCCAAGTCATTAAGGTTTCGAGGCTGACGTTTGGCAACTCGAACCTTCAGCTCCCTCCACAGATTTTCTATGGTATTAAGGTCTGGAGACTGGCTAGGCCACTCCAGGACCTTAATGTGCTTCTTCTTGAGCCACTCCTTTGTTGCCTTGGCCGTGTGTTTTGGGGCAGTCATGCTGGAATACCCATCAACGACCCATTTTCAATGCCCTGGCTGAGGGAAGGAGGTTCTCACCCAAGATTTGACGGTACATGGCCCCGTCCTTCGTCCCTTTGATGCGGTGAAGTTGTCCTGTCCCCTTAGCAGAAAAAACACCCCCAAAGCATAATGTTTCCACCTCCATGTTCGACGGTGGGGATGGTGTTCTTGGGGTCATAGGCAGCATTCCTCCTCCTGCAAACACGGCGAGTTGAGTTGATGCCAAAGAGCTCCATTTTGGTCTCATCTGACCACAATACTTTCACCCAGTTGTCCTCTGAATCATTCAGATGTTCATTGGTAAACTTCAAACGGGCATGTAAATGTGCTTTCTTGAGCAGGGGGACCGTGCGGGCGCTGCAGGATTTCAGTCCTTCACGGTGTGTGTTACCAACTGTTTTCTTTGTGACTATGGTCCCAGCTGCCTTGAGATCATTGACAAGATCCTCTCGTGTAGTTTTGGGCTGATTCCTCACCGTTCTCATGATCATTGCAACTCCACGAGGTGAGATCTTGCATGGAGCCCCAGGCCGAGGGAGATTGACAGTTCTTTTGTGTTTCTTCCATTTGCGAATAATCGCACCAACTGTTGTCACCTTCTCACCAAGCTGCTTGGCGATGGTCTTGTAGCCCATTCCAGCCTTGTGTAGGTCTAAAATCTTGTCCCTGACATCCTTGGAGAGCTCTTTGGTCTGGGCCATGGTGGAGAGTTTGGAATCTGATTGATTGCTTGCTTCTGTGAACAGGTGTATTTTATACAGGTAACAAGCTGAGATTAGGAGCACTCCCTTTAAGAGTGTGCTCCTAATTTCAGCCCGTTACCTGTATAAAATACACCTGGGTGCCAGAAATCTTTCTGATTGAGAGGGGGTCAAATACTTATTTCCCTCATTAAAATGCAAATCAATTTATAACATTTTTCACATGCGTTTTTCTGGATTTTTTTGTTGTTATTCTGTCTCTCACTGTTCAAATAAACCTACCATTAAAATTATAAACTGGTCATTTCTTTGTCAGTGGGCAAACGTTAAAAATCAGCAGGGGATCAAATACTTTTTTCCCTCACTGTATCCTTTAACAGACTGTAGGAGCAAGTGCTGTTAGCAAGCAGCACCTATGAAGGCCGGCATGGAACACGAGGGGGTGGCTGGCCAGCACCACGCCCAGTCACCTGTGTCTCCCTAGTGGCAATATTTTTTTACACACTGCACCAGGTACTCATTTGAGGCTGAGTCGACATCGGGGAGGCTTAGGAATGGTTCAGATAATAATCACTGGTGTTAGCTGTGAGCAGGAATCGGACTCGGGTCGCCGGGTTCGTATCGCAGCACGCTAACCGCAAGGTTAACTAATACATATGTAACGTCGTCTAAGTTTTACTATATTGTATAATGTATATAAACAGTAAGAGAAGACTCCAGCAAGAGTGGACGTTTGAATCAAAATCGGTAGAAGATTTAATCAAATATAACTGCCCCACACTTGGAACAATCGGTAGCGTGTCTACTGTCACTGAGCCAATTCTATTGTTATTATTGTACGACTTGACGCGGAGACCTCACAACCCAGCCGCTCTCTCATCTTCTCCAGGATTAACTGCCTCGTTACTGCCCTTCTTATCTGCTCTTCGATTCACTCAGCTGCCTTAACTGCCCTTCAACTCCCTTAACTGACAGCCTCGTGGCTGTCCGATGACCACACTCCACGTCACAGCCATGAGCTGCTGTATGGGAGGGGCTATGTCCACTCAGTGGCGCTGTCGGCGTTCAGATTCAGCCCCGTGAGTAGGGGGTCTCATCCCTGCATTTCCCCACTGTGGTGCCACATCTCTTTACCGTACAGCCCCCAAAGTCCCCTATACAGGAGGAAGTATCGTCATAAGGACTGTGTTCCACTACAAGGACAGATTCCCCTTGCCTGTTGGGGCAAGTGCTGTTAGTGAGCACTTATGATAGCCGGCACGGCACACGAGGGGATGGGTGGCCAGCACCACGCCCGGCCGCCTTTGTCTCCATCGTGGTAATTTTTTTACACTGCACCAGGTACTCATTTGAGGCGGAGTTGACCCAGGGAAGGCCCAGGACCGGTTCAGATAATCGTCACTAGCGTTGGTGGCCCTGAGTGGGAATCGTGGCGCAGCTATACTACCGCTCCCCAATCCGCATACTCACAGACACACACAGTCGCATGTAACTCATACAGCTCACCAGTATATAATTACACAGGAACACAACTAATTGACTTCATCCGTCTTCCACATGCACACGAGGTGCACACGAGGTACACACGACCCAGTCTCACAGTTTTTTTTCCGTTCAGCTGCCCTTGTTCCAACACTCAACATCCTCAAGGGCCGGCCGAGTGCCACAGGGACACAGAGCCGGCCTCCTGGGTTCGAATCCGGGTTCCAGCCGCCAGTGGTGAAACCGGCTTCTCAAGAGTAAGTGATGAGTTGGTGGTCCCACCCCGTTTAACCACAGCCTTACCAGAGATCAAGAGACACATATTTACATAGAAACACCACAGCTTTACAAATAACCCAAAGACAAGAACGCCATCGACTTAGACCAATAGAACCCAGGGACCGATGGATCACAGAAACACAAAGATCAGAGATCCATCGAGCACATAGTCCCTTAGATCAAAGAGGTCAGAGACCCATAGACAACATAGACCCATAGATCGCAAATATATATAGGCCTCAGAGACCTAGACAGCACATAGCGATCCATAGATCAAGTAGATCAGAGACCCATAGAGCACATAGACTCATATACTGTATCACATACCCATGGATGACAGAGACATTTCTACCGGTATGTGTAATGTATAGCGCTGTATATTAATATTACTCCCCTGCGCACATTACAAATACAGCTATTCTCAATCCATTGCTTGATGAAGGCCTCCCCAACCTGTGTCGATCAAGGGGGTTGTGTGTGTCCTGTATGTTTGTTCAACTTCTTTCGCGCCGTACGTAGCCAACCGCGCTCATCGGAGGCGATGTTTGTGTGACCATACTTCACCATCTCTGGCCAGTGCCGGGATTGGTGAAGAACAGAAAACACCGGGCAGGTTCAGGCTGCGTCACTCGAGCCGTGCCTGCCAATCTCAGGCGTCAGTGAGCTAACCACAGCGCCACCGCTCCCGCCATCACCGCTACATTGAATGGGGGCGGGTGGGGGGCAGTGGCGCAGTGGTTCGCGCTACGAACCGCAGCCACCAGAGTTCGATTCCCAGCCACGGCCCACATCAGTGGCGAGTGATAACTGACCGGTCCTGGGCCTCCCAAACACCCACATCACCGCAATGACCAGCTTGGTGAAGTATGTTCAAACTAACCTCATGGCTTTCATCCAGCGGTGGATTTATCGCGGCTGATGATGACGATAGTGGCTGTGTTTATACAGAAACCAATTGATGGGCGAGACAGAGATCCCCCGTGATGGGGCAAGTGCTGTTAGCGAGCACCTATGAAGGCCGGCACACGAGGGGTTGGTGTGGCCAGCACCACGCCCGGCCGCCTTTATCTCCCCAGTGCTGATGTTTTACACACCGTACCAGGTACTCGCTTGGGGCTGAGTCGACCTAGGGGAGGCCGATAAACCTGGTTCAGATAATTAATCGCTATCACTGGTGTTGGTCGTGACCGGCGAGGAATCCGCGTGTAGACAGCAGCAGCATAACCAGATAAGACACAGCGACACACAAAGATACAACCCGGAGACACAATATATACAAGAGACAAGGATACACAAGATACCAGGACACACAAGAGACACAGCGATACCCAGGATACACAAGAGACACAGCGATACACAAGATACCCAGGACACACAAGAGACACAGCGATACACAAGATACACGGGGACACACAGGACACACAAGATACACAAGAGACACAAGGATATACAGGCGGTGGTGAGCGGCAGGAGACTCACACGACCAGACGGGAGATGATTCGAGTCACCATGGCGCCCGTCGCCGATGCCGCCGCTGCTGTGGTTCCGATTTGCCGATTTGTATTTATGACGCTGCTACGGATACTAACTAACGCTGTCGATGCTCTATTCCCTGCTGCCACGTTTGATGTTACTATCAAACGTGTCTCCTATTTATTTACTGCTGCTGCTGTTCTCAGCTGTTGATGTCAATGGTTGCCTGTGGCACCTGCACTGCTGCTGTTTCTGCTGCTGTGTATACGGCAGTGCTGAGCCCTGCTGTAACTGCTGGGGCATGGATCTCGATATCGGTGCTGCTGCTGTTGTCTGCTGCTCGTTGCCGGTCTGTCAACACTGCCACTCAGAGCTGCGCTGCTCCACGCTACCCCGCGTCTCCTGTGTCTGCCACTCCTGTCGCTCTCCCCCGTGTGTCTCCGTGCCCCCCTCTCCTCTCCCCGTGTGTCTCTCTCCCTGTGAATTTTCTCTCCCCCCGTGTCTCTCTCCCCGCGTGTCTTTCTCCCCGCGTGTCTCCCCCCGTGTCTCTCTCTCCGTGTCTTACCCCCCGTGTCTCTCACCCCCCGTGTCTCTCTCCCCGTGTGACTCTCTCCCCCCCGTGTCTCTCTCCCCGTGTGACTCTCTCCCCCCCGTGTCTCTCTCCCCGTGTGACTCTCTCCCCCGCGTGTCTCTCTCCCCACGTCTGCTACGTTTGTAACGTATCCCTCGGGACCCCGGCTCCAACTCAAACCGACATAGTCGCCCTCGGCGCCTGAGTTAAAATACCACGAGGACCCAAACATAGTCGCCCTCGGCGCCTGAGTTAAAATACCACGAGGACCCAAACATAGTCGCCCTCTGCGCCTGAGTTAAAATACCACGAGGACCCAAACATAGTCGCCCTCTGCGCCTGAGTTAAAATACCAGGAGGACCCCACGTGGTCGCCCTTGGCGCCTGAGTAAAATACCACGAGGACCCCACATAGTCGTCTTCGGCGCCTGAGTTAAAATACCAGGAGGACCCCACGTGGTCGCCCTTGGCGCCTGAGTAAAATACCACGAGGACCCCACATAGTCGTCTTCGGCGCCTGAGTTAAAATACCAGGAAGACCCCACGTGGTCGCCCTTGGCGCCTGAGTAAAATACCACGAGGACCCCACATAGTCGTCTTCGGCGCCCGAGTAAAAATACCAGGAGGACCCCACGTAGTCGCCCTCGACGCCTGAGTAAAATACCACGACGACCCCATGTAGTCGTCCTCCGCGCCTGAGTTAAAGACCACGGAGGACCCCACGTAGTCGCCTTTGGCGCCTGTGTAAAACACGAGAACCCTGTACGTAGTCGTCCTCCGCGCCTGAGTAAAATACCACGAATACCCGGCGTGGTTGTGTAGTGAAACAATGGTTATGAAGATATTTCCTTGCGTATAAAGGAATTGAGAGGCTATCTGATACAGGATGGTGAACGTTAACAGCACTACTGGACAGAGCCTCGCCCCCACATATCGTATTCTTGGTTCTTTCAGTAAAGTCACGTAGATAGAAAATAATAAAATTAAATAATAAAATGAAGACTTAAAGCTTTCGTGACTGCAGAAATTCATATTCTTTGGGTCTTTCGGTAAAGCACGTAGATATAAAACATTACAATTAATAAAATAATAACAATATCACGACGTTTCTCTCGCAACACAAGTGGAGTGGCATTGTTGGGCGCGATCGCTACTACTCATAGCCGATGGTACCGGCCCAGCGTCAACAGGGGGCAGAAGGGAGGCTGAGCCGGCGAGGTAGATGAAGTCGGGCCGTTGAACCAAGGTAGTCCCCGGGGAGCATCGTGATCAGCGGTGCGGACCCCAAGAAGGGGGGGGGGGGGGCTGGGAGGATGACGTCATACTCCAGGTCCCTCGGGAAGATTCCAGAAGGAAGGTGTGGCTAGGGTAGAGTGAGCTGAGACTGTGTACGTACAAAAGCCGGGTCCCTGAACGGGCCCGGCAGTTGTCCACTCAAGAAGCCACCTGGAAGACCTGGAGCCGGGGGCAGGACCCGAGGACCTTGGCTGGGTCGGGTCAGATTAGCCTCCCTAGGTCCCGCTAGCCAGAGGACCCTTAGCGGGCAGCTCTCCCAGTGCGTAGGGCATGCTCGTGAGGAGGTCATACCTCCTTAGGATATCGGGTGAAAGGGGCCATAACCCCTTTGTGTTAAGCTGTATCGTTATTGAATAATAAACGTGTTGCCTCCACATAAGCCTCCTTCCATTTGTACCCACTACAATTGGTGACAGAAGTGGCCATATAATAGTTTGCATGGAAACAAGGAGGAAGAAACACACCAGGGCTCAGGATGAAGAAGAAGACGGTGCAGCTGCCCCAGGGTTGACAACTCTGGCTGAAGGGGATGAAGCGTTGCCGGCCAAGCTGCAGTCTGCCCGGTCACCTGGCGGGTCACCACAGTCGGGGAGAGCGCTACGGGCGGCGGACTCTCGCCTCGCCGAACTTCTGCACACCGCGGCCTCCATCCTCGACGAGATTCATCACGGGGAGCCGACAGCGGAGGAGGGCGAAGCGGGCCTGCAGGCGATGGCCGTTGCCACCGCCGGTTCTGGAATTCCCGCCCAAGATTTCTAATCTCCCACCGAAGTTGGGGGAGTTTCCGCCGGAAGCCAAGAGCATCATGGGACATGCGTCACTTCCGGTCGCGGTCCACGCCAATCAGCGATCGCCGCGTCATCGGCGGCGCAACCGGCATAAGGGGCCGCCATCTTGTTGACTGATGGCGGCGCAATTCCCGCCAAAAGTGATGAAGAGCATCTGCCCCTGGGATGCGTGCCGGCCATCCACCAATGCCTGCCCGTTCTCAAAGAGTTCTCTGTGGCGGGAGGCGACTGAGTGGCCTTTCAGCGCCGCCTCCTCTCACATCGCGAGGTGGCGGGGTGGACGGAGGAAGAGGCGCTACGGGCGCTCCCGGCCACCCTGGACAACGACGCCCTTTCCGCTCTCATCACGATTCCACGGGAGGATCGATCTACGCTGCAGCGGGCACTGCAACAAATGGCCGACATCTGCGGCCCAACATTGGACACGCGACACCGGTTCGCTGCTCGGAGGAAGGGTGAGTCGGAAACTCCCCTCGCCTTCCGCAGCGCGTTGCATGCCCTAGCGAAGGCCGCCTTTCCTCGTATGGACTATGAGGGCATCGACGCGCTTGTTTTGGAAAGATGCTGGCGCTGGCACGGGACTTGCGTGTGGTTTTACACGCCGTTGACGATGGAGACCTATGCTTCCTGCGCGCCTCAAAATGCATCCAGGCGTACTTGCTCCTCCAACGGGAGACAGGTCTTGCGGCCTATACTGCGTCAGCCGATTCCTGCAGTTCATCGGAGGAGCCTCAACCCAACCAAGCCTTTGCATCGACTCAAGCCGGGGGTTGGAGAGCCGACGATCGCTCACGTCAACGGGACTTCCGACAGTGGGGATGAGCATCTCCGCAGCCGGACGCAGCCCTCGTCACCTGCTATAACTGCGGTCTACGGGGACACGTATCGTCAGGCTGCCGGGCACCTCGACGTCACGTCTCCGGACCACGGTCTTTGGCTCCTCGATCACCCTCGGCTCTGCGGCGGCCTCAGGCGAGTCGCGGCACCACACATGCTCGGCCCCCGCTCTCACCCTGTAGACCTCATCGTGTCGCGTCGTGTGTTCATAGTGCGTCGGGTGTAGGGGGTCCGGAATGTTCTAAAGTCGACTGGGTGCTTCGACCGGGTCAGTGGTTGGGGTTGGCCCATAGAGTTGTTGCCGCGGCCGCAGAGTCCTCTGTCATTATTGGATCCATCGAGGGGGTCGCTTTTCAAATTCTGGTCAACACAGGGGCTTCTACAACCATTATTTCAGACCTTATTTACAATATTTTACCTAAGAAATGTTGTTACCTGTATCCAATTGATGCCCCATGTTTCGCCGCTAACGAAGGGTCGCTGGGCATAATTGGCCAGATTTATGCTCAGATTTGTATTGGCGATGTGAAATTGGCGGGCCCCATTCTAGTTTCCTCGTACCTCACAGTTCCATGCTTACTGGGAACAGATTTCCTGGGCAAAACGCCTATCAAAATTCTTATCGACCAGGGCTGTATCAAACTGCCCTCCCGGTCGACGTATGGCATTCCTGCCACACTCGGTTGCGCACGGCCTACGCTACCGTTCAGGCGTTGGTGTCCTGAACGGTGAACATTCTGCCAGGTGCGCAGATGTTGGTTCCCCTTCGGCTACGGAAACCTCTTGATTCTGGGGCGACGGCGGGGGGTGTCCTGCTGGGTCCTTCAAATACTGCAGTTTGGGGGTTAGAGCTTGTCGGTGCACTCTGGTATCTGGGGAGCAGGATCCCTTCATCTAGGTCTTGAATGCCGGGTTGCGAACGACCGTCATACCGCAAAGTACCGTGCTCACTCACGTGATGCCGACACCCCAGGCAGATTCGGTTGTAGGCCACATTGGAGCCGTACCTCGATCGCAACCGCACTTTAACCTCGATGAACGATGGTTGAACTCACTTTGCTCGGCGGCTGGCAACCTGTCCGATTCCCAGAGAGGTAAATTGCGTGCGCTATTATGGGAATTTTCCGATGTTTTTAGTAAAACAAAATTTGACATTGGGTGTACTAAATGCTGAACCATCATATAGTCACGGGTGACGTCGCTCCCATCCGGCAGAACCCGTTCTACTTGAGCCCGGCTGAGAAAGAACATGTCAGGTTGGCCGTCAATGACATGTTAGCTACGGATATCATTTCCCCATCCACCAGCCCATGGGGGCTCAAATTATCCTCGTACAGAAGCATGATGGCAGCTTAAGGTTTTATGTCGATTTCTGTAGGCTCAATAAAATTTTGGAGGCTGACACATATCCACTTCCTCGTATGGACGAGTCGCTGGATGCCTTAGCGGGGGCACATTATTTTCCAACACTAGACCTTTTGTCCGGTTTTTGGGAATTGCCTCTCAATGAGGCATCAAAACCTAAGACCGCTTTCCGTATGCCGCAGGGCTTTTTGAATTTAACCGGCTGCCCATGGGTCTCCACTCGGCCCCAGCAACATTTCAGCGGTTGATGGAACTGGTTCTTGCTGAGCTCCAATGGGACTCATGCCTGATATATTTAGATGACGTTATTGTGTTCAGCTGCACTTTTGAGGAATACCTGGAACACTTGAGGGCTGTATTTGTTTAAATGCGAGCAGCAAATCTTAAATTTAAACCACAAAAATGCCACCTCTTATGGGAATCGGTGTGTTACCTCGGACACATTGTCAGCCAGTCGGGCATTGCCACTGATCCGCAGAAAACAAATTGTGTTCGCACGTGGAAAACCCCCACATCTGTGGGGGAAGTACGGAGTTTTATTGGCTTCGCGTCTTACTATCGACGCTTTATGGCGGGTTTTGCGTCCATTGCCAAGCCCCTTCATGCGCTGACAGTCAAAGGGATGAAGTTCCATTGGGGAGAGGAGGACGAGGCCGCATTTAACTCACTGCGCGACGCCTTGGTGAATGC